TTTTTAAAACTTCTTTTTCCCTTCTGAGACCGGCATCTCTGTACGAAGTATCCGTACTCCGTACTTACCTTAGGACTGCCAGAGTGAGACTGCGATAAGTGAGGCGCCGGATGGCGGCAATTACCTAATCAATCCCGCTGTTCTATGCTTCTCCCAAGCCCCTACAATAACGCCACGTGATGAGCTTCTACATTGTACTCACTCTCAGACCGCCCCAGGTGAGGTGCCGTGGGTGCGTGGGTGCGACTTACTCAGGAAAATCTCCGCCTCTACACTACGTCACTGGCGCTCCTTTCTCCTGGGCTGAGACAGTTGCACCAACCAGTGGCGGCAGGTCCAAAAACGCAAGCAAGACATATTACGCCGTTGCCGGATTGAGTCCCATTGCCGGACCCTTAACTCCTGGGGCTCACTGAGAGTCTGTGATGCCTAAGGTACCTTAGACGGCTCTCCTCTCACTCAATCACCAACCCGCAGCATCATTTATTTCATTCACTCATCTCCAGTTCATCACATTACTCTCTCAACCACCTCACCCATCATCAGTCACCCTTCATCAGTCACCCGTCATCTCAACCTCTCTGATCTACCGCTGTCAGCTCGCAAATCCCCGCCTTCGGACCGGCACATCCTGGTTGTCATACCAAGGCAACCCCCGTGACCATTCTTCGCCTCGTCTCAACCCGCGCCGAGAAAGGCCCCTTGTTTGCATTTCTCCCTCTGCTAAGTTTAGTACAATCCGGCGATGCCCCGCAGGGTCTTCCGTGTCATCGGCGTCGGATCTCCACCGACACGGCGATCAAGTGTGAATTTCATCCCGACTTTTCCAACACGCCTTTAGGAACCTCCAAGCGAGACCCCGGTCGCCACCCCCGACCCAGACAGAAAGCCTTAATGATCCATCCGAGATCAGGCTTGCTGACATCATTCAGTCGTCTCCGTCACGACCCTGCATTAGCTGGACCGCCGTTTTTACCACAATGCATGGCCTGGGAACATTTCTTATCGGATGCTCCAGAAATGCCGGGGCCAATGGGTGCCATGTGAGATTCATTTTCTATTGACCGATTGGGTATACACTCCATCTTTAGGCACCGCCAGCAAGTCGACCAAAAACATTACCTCGCCACCCAATCTCTTGAGGCGAAGCGAGGCAATTCGCGGCTGCACCGGAGGATTGTTGTGTATTTCTTATTCGCTCGCTGGTAGAGTTAAGCTTCTCTCTCACACCCACAAGCTCACAAACTCAATCTTTGGCACATTTGACGGTTTCGGTTGACCAAGGTAGGCCAAAGTCACGTCATACGGGAAACTTCGATTGAGTGCATTGAGACGACCCTGTCATCAATACTTGCAAGCGCGACATAGGTCGCTCATCCAGTGCTTGACGTGGAAGCACAGATGGCAAAAAGCTTCTTCATAGTGACCGTCTTAGCTGCGACTGTAATCGCCAAGACCAGTAATCATGGCCCGTCAATTCTGAAGATCACGATACTTTTTCCACTTGTGAGTATGAGTAATGTAAGTTGCAACTTGCACCACAGATCTCCACATCGTCGGTGGGCATTCTAGGCATCGGCAGCTCATCGCCTCCTTGCTTCGCCGACAAGCCCACTTGGCGGACTCATGAATTACCGGCTGTGTGAAATGTCCCATTGTAGACCCATCACTAACCATGGCCTTCGACAACCTACCTTATAAGATTACCACACACACCACAGAGCTTGTGGCATGTTAATTCAACACGTTAAAAGACTTATCAAAATCGTTCTACGTGCTTTGTTCGACTACGAGGCGGAATGCTGTCCCAACGTTTCTTCTGGGCCGTGGCCATGGCTTGTAACGTCACTGTCGCTGATGTTACCGCTCCTGTTCCCTTCACCTGGCCCCCTCCGCAGGGATCCATGTCGGATTTCGAATACAACCTACGATTCGGATGCGACTTCATGTCGTGGTGTGGAGGCTTTGATGGCGGATGCGCTGCCGAGGTATTTACAATAAACAACGCCTCGAGGCGTTGGGCAGTTGCTGATACGTTTGTGTGATAGTGTCTACGACAAGGAAAACAATGCTGGACTTGTACGAGTCCCAACTGCGAGTGTCTTTGCGAATAATACAATGGTCATTATTGGTACTATTTTTGTTAGAGGATTGTGCGCTAGTAAGTCCATTAATGAATAAATACAACGTGCCAAGGGCCATTCATAACTTCGTTGTCACCAGCGTATCCTGTACGCGGACGCGACTTGAAACATCCTCGAAAACCCCTGGAGAGCCCAGCAAGGAGAATCAGGGGAAGAGACTTGATGAGACGCATCTTTCGTGGCAAAGACTGGAGAAGACAGCCGCTTTCCTCTACTTATATAATCGTCGATGATGATGTCTTTGATCCTTTGATGCTTACTTTGAAAGCCAGGCTGGATACTTATCATGCAACGCCGTCAAGCACTCAAAGTAGGTCAAGCACAATTTTCTCAAAATCATCCCATCGCTTTGTCGTATGCGTAATCTTTACTCTAGTCTTATCCTATTTAACTTTATTTACAATGTGTCTTCATGTCCGCAGCTCTGAATAAGTGACTGTATCAAGTAGTAAGATGCAAGAAAGATATCCCGTGATATACCCAATGAACGCCATATGTAATGCAGATCTATTTCACAGCCAGCAAACGTAAAGCTCGGCATGAGTTTAATCCGAGTCATCACTGTTACTTTTTTCTGCCCAATCCTGCGCCCTCGATGCAAATTTTGAAACACACAAGACCAAAATGCCGGCCAGGAGAGCGGAAAACGCGGCTGGAATAAAATTAGCAAGCGGCAAACTCAAAGGAAAGAAGTACCTTGGGCGACTTACTGATTGTGAAAGACCAACCGACTCCAATGGCGTCAATCATTGGCACGAGACCGCCAACACTGCCAGCTCCGAAACTGTACTGAACGATGTATTTACTGCTGATGACAGCTGTTCTGCGTTCGGGCATTGCCTCTGATGAACAGAAAGTCAGTCCTGCTAAGAGGAAGTAAAATGCAAAGGCAGGAAATGAAACTCACCGGCAGAATATGTGTTCAAACCACTAAAAGACCACATGAGGCCGAGTCCCTCAAAGAAGCAACTGATGATTGGCAAAGCGATTCCTCCAACTTGCTTTTGAACGCTCCATCCATATATCAAAGTGCCGGCAGGCAAAACGATGAAGATTGCCGGTAAGCTGCTCTTGAGCCTGTCCTGAGGTAGGCGAAGACCATTACGCTTTCGGATGTATCGCTTAACGGTGTGGTCCGAGACTCTGCCCCCGATAGTGCTCCCCATCAGAAAGCCTGCTCCGGGAGCAAGGTAAAAGATGCCACTGATGAGAGGTGTAGTGAGACCAAAACGAGGATTGATGACCCGCCGTATGGAACTCAGAAGGCCGTATTGGTTGAAACCTAAAAGTCCGCAAGCAAAGTTCTATGAGGTGTGTCAATACGAGAGATTGGGGACCAGCTACCGTGGTATGGGTCACTCACGGCTGCGACAATATTGGGATACTTGAACTGGCGGAGAACACCCATTGGATTGAATGCGTGGGCCAAGTCACTTAAAGATCGGATAGGCGCTCTTTCTGCCACGGCAATCTTGAGATGCGCCAATTGACTAGCTTTTGGGACGAAGAAGAAGCCCACGATGAGGCCGAGGAAGGTCATGCCAGCTTGGACACCATAGACGACCCGCCAACTGGTAAAGGTCACAATAACAGCTCCCGTTAATGGCGCTGGAAGTATTGTTAGTTCAAAGAGTTGTTGACATCATTATGGTCAAGTAGCTCACCAATTGCGTTTGCCGCCACGCAGCTTCCTAAGAAACAACCCACTGCAGTTCCGCGAGTTGTCTACCGAAGCTGTTAGACTCAACAAACAAGTTTGCAAAAGGGCCTGGTATCTTGGCTTACAGGCTCAAACAAATCCGCCAAGATAGTCTGCCCAGCAACTAGAAAGAAGGGGCCCGTCGTTCCTCCAATGACCCAAATCGCCGTAAAGCAGGCAAAGTTATTAGAGAGTGCCGAGCCGATCGAACAAAGGGTCAACAGGCAGTTGGCGACGAGGAATGTTGTTCTACGTCCGAGGATATTACTAGTCGGCAGCCATATCAAGGCTGACATGGCCATGGCGATGAACACACCAGCATTCGCCGTGGTAATGGCATGCGTAGAGACGCCGAAGTCGGCAGCAACATCGGCCGTCGCCGTCAAGATGGAGCTACCGGAGAAGGCGACGGGCAAGGCCATCCAGCAAACGACTGCAAGTGTAACCCATTTCTTCCACGTTGGCATCTCCATCACCTCGTCGTCTGCTGCGGCGGGGGGCCGAAGAGGGGCGGCGGCGGCGGCGGCCGGGATGGGGCCGGTGAGCGGATCGGTGCTCAGCCGGGGGATCTTGACAGCGGCGGTCATGCCGTCCGGCTTTTCGGCATTTGGAGAACCCATGGCACGTGAACTCTCATTAAAGAAAGGAAATTAAGCTGATGTCTATGCTGAAGCATCGTCAAAATAATCAGACGGCCTCGGGGAGTCTTCCAGGTGTATATAGTCCTGCAATCTCTCCGTAGGTCGGAGACACGCCTTCGGCAGGCGAATTTTCCTTCATTTTTCCACCATCCATCCTCTGACTCAAATGTTTCGTTAAGTGGGACTTGCATGGCGACGTGATCGAGGCCGGGCCGGGCTTGTGACGGAAACACGTCTGATATACGGCGCTGGTGGTGGATTGCTTGGTCAGAGTAGTCGGCAACATGGCATGAAGCCGACTTGGAAAACTGGTTTAGCCCCAGAATAGTTTGTGGGGTAAGATCGTGACGAAAAGTTCGGCCAAATCCCTCATCTTGCCGATAATGTGGGGAAATCACAGTCTTTTGTCGGCATAATGCGCGATTTATGCCGAACTATCTCGGTCCGGCTGGAACTTCTCACCCCCAAATGTCTGCCCGTGGCAACAAAGAAACCTTTTCCTAACCAATGCTGATGACTCTAACGTAGTGGAGGTTATCGTAAGAATACGTCACAAGTTACAGGAGCTTTGGAAGACCTGCGGTGTCTTCAAATATCTATCGAACCCCCGTCGGTGTCCTGGCTCATTTTCCCGAAACGTTTGAGCGGACCTCACGAGGGCATTATCCCAATCCGGCATACCGATAGACAACCATGGTATCAGAAGACGATGCGTCCAGTGCGGACGACAGGGTTGCTTTAAGGTCCGCCCCGTTATCCTCATCGGCTTCATCTCGACCAAAGACCAAACCTACCGCGTGAGTGTCTCTTGTCACAACCGTAACGCTGGGAGAGTTTTCTGGTGGCTGACATCGGCTTTTTCGCCCCATAAGATGTCGTAGGTGTCATTCTCGCAAAGTGAGATGTTCGGGTGGCCAGCCATGCGAGAATTGTCGCCAAGCGAGCAAGGGTGCAGAATGCACATACCCTCGAAGGAATCGCATCGTCAAGGTTAGCCAACGGTACGTCAATGCTGGATCCCAAATATTCTCAGGTTGCAAAAGACGATTGTAACTGAACTGCTTGCCCAAAAGCTATATCGATGACCTCATAGCCGAGAATCAACGGCTCAAGAGCAATAACAGCGTTGTCACTCAGGCTCGAGCAGAGAACATCCTCCCAGATCTGGCAGCCGTTGCTTCGGTAAAAGAGACAACAGACAACGCAATTGCCATCCCGCCGCCATCGCTTGATGATCGGCCATGGTTCTTCGACATGAACATACCGCACACGCCGATTCTCATCGGTGAGGCATCAGACGCCGCATTCGCTACCCGGTTCCGCCAGGCAATATCGACGGTTGAGCACAGTCACATCCCGCGCGTGAACTACGCAACAGACGAGAAGCTGCTTGCACTTTCTGATACGGATTGCCCCTGGCCAAGCCCAGCGAGGGCACGTTTTCTCGTCGGCGTTGCCTTGAGATATGTCAGCCGTTGTTATCACATCATCCGGAAAAGTTCGATTCTTGATGCTTTGGAGCAGACACTTCAGAACCCGGCTGAAAGCGACTCTCTTCTCAAGAGCAAGCTGTGGGCAATGTTTGCCATTGGCGCCATGTATTCAACCCGCTCGGCTACATCAGAAAAGCACTTTCCTGGCATGGGCTACTTTGCACGGGCAACTCGTATCCTCCGCATCGTTAGCGAACGACCGAGAATCGATGTTGTTGAGTTGAGATTGTTGCTGGTGAGATTGCTCTTTCGCCTAGTTATTTTCCAATCAGTTCTAAAGTTGAACAGTCTTTCTACTCTCTTGCACTCAACCGACGACATACTGCCTACACCTTTGCCGGCTCCGCAACCAGACTTGCCGTCGTCATGGGCCTGCATCTCAACGTTCCTGAGTCGCAACTCAGAGACGCAGCCGCCCGAGAACACAGAGTCAGAGTATGGTGGACAGCTTACATTTTTGACAGGATGTGGGCAGCCAAGCTGAGCCATCCCGTCGCTGTCCAGGACATCGATATTGAGGTGGACTTGCCATCAGATCCAGTTGTCGACGAGAGGTTAGCGGATGACTTTGCCGATGCATCTTACTTTGTTGCCAGCGTAAAGCTCGCCAGTGTACTCGGCAAGGTTGTGCCTTCCATCTATCGAAGAAGAGCCCAAGACACCTCATTATCACATAGAGTCCAAGAGGCTTTGAAGGATCTCCGTGGGTGGTCTTCAGAGCTCCCTCCGCAGCTTCACATTGACTCGAAGCCTACGTCGGAACGGATGCCAAAGCCAATCTCACTGCATCTTAACTTCAATCAGGTAATTATGTCATGATTTGCAGACAACGTATCACACGGCTGACTTCACTGTTAGTGCGCTATTAGCACCACCCGTCCAATCCTACTCCACGTGCTGCGAACGCATGTAGCATCTTGGGGAACACCAGAGACGCCAGTACCTCGAGTCCCTGCAACCGCCATGACTCTCGCAGAAACTTGCATACGCTGCGCTCGTCACACGTGTCGACTACTAACAGAATGCTGGATTGATGGTTCCTTTGCAACATTTGACTACTTTTACACCCAGTACCTCTTCTCGGCCGCCACCATCCTGGCGGCATCCAGCCTCCTGAGCGGGAAAGAGAGTCACAACGACAGGGAACAATTTGAAGAAGCAGCCCAGTTCCTGTCCCAGCTGAAAGACAATGGCAATTACGCAGCCGAGGAGTTCTGTCATCACATCGACGCTATGAAGGCCACAATGGCCGCGGCTCACGTACGTCGTGGTGATTTCGTTGTAGCGGAATACTCAACTGCTATGTTAAATGATGCGTCGACCACTTTCACGGACGCAGTCAACCTCAACCAGCCTTTTGCGGCGCAAAATACGACTGCCGGAATGGCGCTCAACGAACCGTCGTTACAGGAACTCCTGGCACAGCCACTGCTTGATTTGCAGTTTATAGACGCGTCAATCTATAATGATGGCGCTCAGGGACTTTACTGGCCAGACTTTAGTCCGGAGTCATGGACGCCTGATGCGTGGGCAGCAAGTTGAACCCTGTGCTCTGCAACGATCTGATTTCAAGCGCGTCGAACTGAAATTCAAAGATTATGTCGCAATTATGGGACGAACAGCAATTTTGGGATTATTTCAAGCCTCTTTCTACCAAAAGACTACTTCCATGGCTACTTAGTCTCGATAGTCAAACATCCTATGTAGGATTTGCTGCCGACAACTGCGTTTTACCAAAACTTGAATGGCACAGCCAATCTTCCCGCCGCATTCGGCGTCGCACTAGCAGATGTCGAAGAGCCCGATGGAACCGATGCTGTGCCGGCTTGAGAGCCCGTTGCCGCCGTAGTGGCCTGAGTTGTTGCAGTCACCGACGCGGTCGTCGCGGCCGTGGCAGAAACGCCTGCGCTACCAGTGCATGCCTCTTCGCCAGAGATGATGGTGTAGCTGGTGCTGCAGCCCACCCGAGGGCAGGTCCCCTTCTCGCAGCCAAATGTAAAGCTCTCCGTCGTCACCGAGGTAGGGCAGCCACATGACTGCGTCAGAGTCGCCACCTCGAGGCATTGCGGTGCTTCGCCGGCGCAGCTGGGACACAAGGAAAGCTCTGTTACGGTGGGACAGCCGCTCTGTGCCGGGGTAGGAAGCGGAGTTAATACATCGGTTGGCAGAATCGAGTAGAGAAACGTTTCTGAAGTGGTTTGGGCAGCAATCGGCGCCGCGCTACTAATGTTAGCGATGGGTTCCTGTAGCCAATATTGACAGATCCATACATAAACAAGAGCTTTGCTGCTTGGCTGACTAGCTTCATTTTGATGCTACTCAACTTGACGGGCGAGGAATGGACAAAGCGTAGTTTGAGGATTTCACGGAATAAAGCTTGAAGGAATGGGAGAAGAAACCAGTTCCACAGCCAGCACAGCGCAGCTGAGCTCTTTTCAAGTCACGAGCTGGTAACACCAGCGGCGATCAACTCCTCCTGACAACACGACCGTCATTCGTTCGAATTCGTCGGTGTACAAACCACCATCCTTTTTCGGCATTGGGGTCTTGGCTTGCAGGGATGCTTTTGCGGAGAGCCCGTATCGACTGGCCACCAACCTCTTTGATTCTGTTCTATTGCAGCACCCGTCAAGGGAAAAACACGTAGTCTCACCGCAGCCGTTCCGCCAAAAGCAACAGTCACACCAACCGAAACTTAGTCTTTCAAAGCGCTACCTCCTTACGTTTCAGAAGTACAGGTTGATATTCAGGGTGCTGATGCCAAGGACTGCCAGCCCGCGAATCGTTCGTTGTCTTCATCACCTTCCTATAGGGGCACAAATAGAGTGGCTCGTGCCCGCGCGAATTATGACGGAGAAAGTCAATTGTCGTCAATGGAAATATACCTGATGCCCAAAAATACGTCTTGCTGTCGCTTGTCGGTCATCTTTTCTTGGGACAAGCTTCTCTATGGCGTCAGGTTTCCTTCGCCGCCGACTTCTTGAGCCTCGACAGTAGAGTCTCCAGCATTCTGCAGTACCCCATCGATGTCCAACGTCACTTCTGCATTGGCCCTCGAGAAGATTATACCACCCATGATGGGGTAAACGACCCTGAGTCTCTCGTGTTCGGGAACAACGATGTTGAACTAGCGGAGCGTGATCAGTCCAACAAGGGAGCTGACAAGACTGAGGCTGGGTGCATAAATATAAAACCAGCAATGTGAGGCGGGTCCATGGGATTCTTGGCATAAAAAAAGTTTGGATAGGAAAGGGACTAGATGATTGCTCACTGTCGGCGCCGCGTAATAGTTGAGAACGAATCCCCAGGCAGCTGGAATGTTCCATTGGCCGCCGATAGATATCGTGGCATTCAGGTCTGGGGTAAGTTGATTGCCCTGGGACAATCAGTAAACAAGCGAACCGGCATCATGATCAAGAGGCTGCCCACGACTACAAACCGAGCAAGACGTTAGATACCAAAAACGTCTCATTATTGTGTTTTCGAAAAAGAACTCGGGGCTGTAGGTTGTAGGGTCGGACGAAAGCAGCACCGAAGAGACGATGCCGAAGATGGACATCCAGCAACCAACACCGGCACCATCTTCTGAGGACACCGAGTGGGCGACAAAAAGGCTGATGACGGTGCCTCCGATTTGATGAAATATGTTGTGCAAGCACCAAGAAAGGAGGCCGCACTAATCAACAACACCGCAGTGAAATCCGGCACCCTTGGCAGGATTATTGGCGTGGTGCCAGGCAATGACGCTATCTCCCCTGTATGCTTGACCGATGATATTTTCGAGAAGCAATGTCAGTAAGGCCAGGTTACAGAGAGAAATGAGGTGTGGGATAAAGAATTGGAGATCGTGATCATTGAATACGATTAAGGGAACCGCAAGACGTTACCGAGGCCGACGGCACCCCCCGTCGCGGCAAAAATGAAAGATATGCGGGAATCCCAAACGTCGCGGCTGTCTTCGGCTTCATCGGCGCTTTGCGTCATAAGATTGTAGAGTTTCTTGCCGACGTTGACAATGAATGCGGTGATTACTCCAAGCTTGGGCAAGATAATGAGGGAGGAGTTGAAAAAAACCTCCAGGCCATCACCACATACAAGGTTCTTGTACTATTTCATGATGCAACCTTCAAGTCCCGGTTAAGAAATCGAACGGCCAGCCATGAATTCAATTCATAGGTCGGCGGAAGACCCTGTAAGCATACTTAGATTGAGATGCAGAAAACATAGTCTCAGTTGAAGGGCTATCAAGCAAGCGCGCCGGCACAGAGCTGTGGTCGAGGGTCAACATGCCCGGGATGTCGGGGCGCAAAATCATGCCAGCCAAGTCCCTTGGTTTTATTTTCCAATATAAGAACATCATTTATCAGAAAAGGTGTGATTATTCGCATCTTAAATGCTAGCATGGGAATAAGGAAGGCACTTTAGTAACTGAGAACCCCTTTGCTTGCGCAACGTGATAGTAGTATAAACGTTTGAAATGAATTACAAATTGGTACAACATGATGAAGAAGACAATATCGGTCGGCGATACCAAAGATCATGCTCTACATACGTCTATTCTCTTCATCTCCACATGGACTGTTTGTTGAACTTCTTCTACTCCAGAAAGCTTCTACAGGTAGCCATCATTGCTTGGTTGGATTTCAACGTAACTCAAAGTCACTCAATTCCGTGAGGCTTTGCACAATAATCAGGCGGCTTGGTTGATTGTGATTAGTAAGGTACGGTGAATAGGTCACTTCAATCGCGACACGGCATTGAAACCCCGGTCATCTCAAAGTTCAGCGCAACTCATCAAAGCGTCGTAGAGCTTATTGCCCAAACAGCACCTCTTCACATGAGACCAGAGGAACAAGCATATGTAGTTATGCTGACGAATTGATGTCTCTGTTAGTCATTAGCTAATAGTTTCAGCGGCCCGATCAAGTAGAAACAGCTCTTGGCACCGAAGTCCGAGGCATCTGACCAAAGTAAAGCATTCAGATTTTGAAACCATAAATGGTAGACTGCGGCTCCTCTTAAACCCCAAGCTACATACTTAATGATCTTCAAGCTCTCTTCCACAAAAAGAAAAGAAAACTTACCATCTCGTAGGCAGTCTCCCCTCACCAAGCCATCAACCTTTACAATGTCGTCCGCCACCAAATCGTCCGTCAACCTGGTGCTAGGTGTCGCAAACGTAAGTTTACCCATCGGCGCGAAGAAGCTGCACATTCATCACCGCAAAGCTAATGTTCGCAGGTCGGAGACACGTCCGCTGACCCCATGGCGCGCTATAATACCCCTGACGAAGTGAACGCGTTCCTCGACGTTTTTAACCGACGCGGATACAGCCAGCTCGACACCTCGCGCATGTACTCGCCCCAGGCGCCCACAACCTCGGAACCCAGGCTCGGCGCCGTCAGCGCGGGAGAGAGGTTCGCCATCGACACCAAGGTCACGTCTGGAACGCCGGGATGTCACACCAAGGAGAAGATCTTGAACGAGATTGACGAGTCGCTGAAGGCGTTGAAAATCAAACAAATCAATGTCGAGTACCTGCACGTGCCGGACCGAACGACGCCGTTTGAAGAGGCGTGCGAGGCTATGAACGAAGCGGTCGTGCAGGGCAAGATTAGAAAATGGGGCATTTCCAATTACAACGCCGCCGAGGTCCAGCGATTTGTCGATATATGCGAGGAACGGGGCCTCGTCAAGCCTAGTGTCTACCAGGGTCACTACAATCCACTCGTGCGAGGAGGTGAGAAAGACCTGTTTCCGGTCTTGCGCAAGAATGGCATTGCCTTTTATGGGTTCAGTCCCGCGGCGGCGGGGTTCTTTGCCGGGAATCACAAGAAGGTCAGAGCTGGTGGGCGGTATGATACATCGGTGAGACCATCTACCTCGTATCAAGTAGGAGGTGAGAGGCTAACTTAATGATTTACAGATTCCCGTGGGCAGGATATACTCAAAGTTCTACGTCAAGGAGTCGATCATGACAGCGACGGAGAAGGCGCTTGAAGTTGCGTCTAAGCATGGAATTGACGGCCACGCGGCGGCGCTTCGGTGGACGGCATATCACAGCATCCTCAGAAAGGAGCATGAGGATTCAATAATCATTGGCGCCTCGAGTCCGGAGCAACTAGAGGCTAGCATCGACATGATTGAACAGGGACCGCTTCCTGAAGATGTTGTGTCTGCTGTTGAAGCCTTGTACGAGCAGATTGTCGATAAGATTCCATACCACATGTAGATCTCATCTGGACTAGGCTCAAAAGCTAGGCTCTATAGGCTAGGAGTAAACCTCGGTAATCCTGACATGCATGCGTTGAAGCACCAACTTCATCGCTGAGAAACATCGGCAGGATCTGTGTTCTGTGAGCACATGTTCTTTTATAATCTCAAGATTGATAGCCATAGCTGTTTCTCGGGGCAGTTTCATATTAGCAGAAGGTCTTTTCTTGAAATCTTCACATCCTGCAACATGGAAATCACCGCGATAGTTCATCCCGATGAGAGAAGCTCAGTCCGCTTAAAGAAACAGGTTCACTCTCAAGCGACTTGTGTGATCCACGCACGATCGATGCCCCGCAATACGGTAACTCAATCATTTACGAAACAATTGATTGCTCTGTGGCTCTCCCGACATGGACTTCTTGGAGGGATTCTTGCTTGTAGCTTGCCGCCATCCATCACTCAATCACATGGAGGAGTATGGAAAATGGGCAGTCAAATACAGGTTTAAGCACAAAACCGCCTTGCGCCAAGCAATTTCATCTGATGAGATCTCATCATGACCGACGGGTGTCACGAAGCATTGGTTTTGGCATTCGACGAGGTGCGCAAACTCCAACACCGGCCGGCCCTAGTCCCCCGCAACTGCAATACTTCAGTAAGAGATGTTGACATTCGACTCTGGGATACACTTTTCAACAGTCCTATGGCTTCGAAACATATGCTTGGGGCGAGCACAATCATCAAAGACTCTGGATGGATCGATGCGCTTGGGTTAAGTTGAACTTCTTCGTTGTGTTCTCTACAGCTGCATTTACGGCTAGGGCCTGCTGGACTAATATTCCGTATTTCAAGCCTTTCCAGCACCGCATCGCAAAGACTACTATACTATGCAATTTTGCGCGGCGGGGAAACATCGTTGTCCCGAATCATGACCACGTTCCATTCGCGGGTCCAAAGTAGCCTACGTCTGGCATTTGCAACCAGGGCAAGCCTTGTCCATCAGCGGTATTAGCCCAGACAGTGTTCCCCCACCAATCAGGGAATTGCGCATTGGGACCTTGGTTTATGTTAGTCTCGGGCACAATGACAATAGCGGGTAAACCAGCTGGGTTGACTTACCATAGGTAACGGCGAAGAAGATGACAATACCGCTGATAGCAAGTCCAGTATCCAACGCCGCAGCGAGGACATAGTTGTACTTGCTCCACCAGGCGTAGAACTTGCGGTAGATGATCTTGTTGAAGATCAAGTTCACAATGTACCACGACGAATAGTTGATACCCGTGGCCGGTGGCACGTTGTAGGTTCCGACAAAGATGAGCGGCCAGTTGATCTTGCGAATGAAGTCAGAGTTTGTCTTCTTGAAGATGAAGTATGTGATTGGCGGCAAGATGAGACCGATCCAGAAGAAGTGCAAGAGGCCAGAGTAGATGGCGCCAACGGAGTACAGACGAGCGGGCCCGACGAGGCCCCAAATGACCGAAGACGAGAAGACGGTGCGACCATTGGGGCAGGAGAAGCCGTTGGGTTGGTCCTCGGTGCAGATACCGTCGACGTTGCCCAGCATCCACAGCGTGACGCCAGTCTGGGTCAAGGCGCCGAGGATGGTGGCGAGACCTTGGGCGAAGAACAAGGTCGTGGGCGGGATCTTGAGGTAGTGGCCGAGCTTCATGTCGGCCGCAAAGTACAACCCCTGGCCGACGACGTCCGTGCTGAGGATCTTGAAGAGAATGTTGGCAATGGGCTTGCCCTGGAACATGTATCCTCCAATGAACTCGGACAGAACGTTGAGCTGGTTGGCGTCGACGTTGGTGACGCCCTGGATCATGCCGCAAGGAACCATGTAGATGGCGGGGATGATGAACGCCAGGATGACTCCCCACCATGGGAGCCCGGTATCGTAACCCTGTGCGGTACCGACCGACATGCCGAAGACGACGAGGAGAATGATCATCCACCACCACCACTTTACACTCTGGTATGATTTCATCAGGCGCGCGTGGATGTCGAGCTTGAGTGTGCCCTTCATGGCATGCTTGATTTCATCAAAGTGGAAGAAGTAGACGTGTGAAAGAACACTAGGTAGGTTGCAATGTGGTTAGAAGAGGCTTTTTTTTGTGATGAGTTTGAAAAAATCGGAACATACCTCGTGATGGACGCAAAAGACAGCCCGTACACAAAAGCAAAAGTTGCCGGCAGATACGGGGGGGAGTACGCAGAGTACTTTTGCTGATCGAATTCGTTATTCGTCAGGACCTCCGTCACGTTGTAAAGACTGCCGAATCGATCATAGACATCGGCCGTGCAGAAGGGCATATACGAGGTGAACCACGTGTTGGTGTAGTAAATGGCCGGCGTGATGATCCAGAAGAAGATGGCAAAGCCAAAGAAGACGTTCAGCGCCGCCCAGTGCGGGCTCAGGAGCGGGTTGGTGTTGTACGCAATCATGGACCAGTCAAACGTCAACGGGAAGAGCCCCATGCCGGTAACCATGCCAAAGACCTGGTTGACGGCCAAGTTGTTGGGCGCGATCCAGCATATCCAGGTGAAGTAGCTGAGGCCCGTGAACATGAGACCGGGGAACCAGTACCAGACGAACGCACAGCCGCCGACAATCATGAAGAACTTGATGCGGGTGATTCTCCACCCGTCAGCCATGGCGTTGGCCCTCGAGTGCAGGGAGCTGAGGAGGGCGACGTTGCTGAGCACGCCGGGCCAGATCATGCTCGCGGGCTTGACGAGCCAGGGGATGGCGAGACCTGCGACGGCGTACCCACTGAGCTGGCAGCACAGGACGACGAGCACGGAGAATCCGGGCGGGATGTAGAAGCCGTACAGCCTGGCCGCCTGAATCAGGTTCGTGGCATCAGCCGAGCCGAAGCCAAAGGAGACGTTGGACATGATGGTCACGAGGGCGTGCTCCTTGATGTTGAAGTGCCGGTCGGGGTTGAAGCGGCTGATGGGCAGGATCTTGGCGAGCGTGACGCCAATGGGGAACGCAATCAGCTCTGCGACGAGGGAGACGATGTGAACACCGGGGTAGCGCAACGAGAAGAACTGGTTCACGCCCGCGCCGAGGAAGACGAAGATCTTTGTCGTTGAGTCAGCATTACATTCTTTACATGAGTTGAGTTTGTCAACCAGCAGTTGAGATCACTGGGAGTGGCATACAACACCAAGGAACCAAGCCCGGAATGTGTTGACGGGGATCGCAGTGTCGTCCGTCTCCGGCACAACAGCTCTGACCTGAGGAAACGGCGAGGTGTCGGCATCGTAGTCCCCCTCGCCCTCCTCGTCGAGCACCCGCTCCATGTCAACCTCCAGCTCGGCAAGATGTCCATTTTCTAGCTCAATGTCCTGGCCATGGATGTTATGCGCCGTCTTGATGCCGAGCTTCTCGTCTTCCGCGGGGGACTTTTCAGGGTCCGCATACTCTGGCGGCGTATGGCTAATGTCGGTTGCCATCTTGTTGAAGGGATTGCGACGATGCGATGGCGGCTGAAGCAAGCAAACGCCTAGAGGTGCCAAGAGCGTAGTGCCCGGCGCGGCATCGAGGTCATTATGAAGGGCGGGTGCTGGTTACATTGCTTTCCTGGTCCCGTATGAAGGGTAACATTGACTGATACCAGCGATGTGGTCCGATACGCCCCGACGCGTACGACAATCATGTGTGGTATCACCGCGACCCAGACATCTCTCCGTCCTCCCGCTTATCAGTCGCCCCCCCCTGATCGGTGGTCAGCCGATGATAGGATTGCTCAAAAAGTGCCGCTGGGATTTTAAAAAGTTCCCCAGATTACCTACTCGTAAGCTCGTCGTCCACTCAGGTTGGCTTTACACACACAACCCTCACGAATCGTAATGACTGTCTCCGATTCCCCCAACCGCTGCTTCGGTTCAGCGGCATTGGCCAATCGAGCATCTTGGCGTTATCTTGGCTCCATCTGCCACTGCGGGGATCTGCCGTCTGCTTCTGGAAGGCGACCAGGGATTCCTTTCTTAGCGGTCGGGTCCGGCGCATGGTATGAGGGAGGGATTCGGGAAACCTCGATAAGTTTGCCGTACTTCCGCGGTGTCCCCATTCCCGGGCGATAAGACTAGCAGTGATTAGCTGAACTAGAACGTTGCCATGACGCGCTTTAAACTCGGGGCTCTGTGCCTTTGGTTGACGTGAACTTTGTTGGTTCCTGACCTGGCGGGGCCATCCGGTCATGGACTCATGGTCCAATAGAGACTAAGAGTAAGTACCTATCACTAATGATTTGTCGCTAGCTATTAGTTAAGAAAAATAAGTGCTGCATGATTATCCTTTATTAGGTGCTGACATCAATCCGAACATGTCGGACTTCATGTTTGACTGGCATATTTTCGCGTAATCGCAGGTTAAGCTTATCCTCTTCCAAGACATGCTGTCTTATCTGCAATCAGCTCACGCATGCTTGAGATGAGACGAACACCACAGCGAGTTTTTAGATGATCGAATTGAAAAGGAGAAAGACTCTTGCTCGCCTTCGATGCGCCGAATTACAGGTCTCAGCCATCGACATTCTGTGCGAGTCGACACCGACTCCTGCAGGTCTCCTCCATTGGTAAGGGTTTACACCCTTCATGCAACTTACCTAGTCACATTTTATCCAGTGCCGCAGTAAATAGAATCCATTGACTGCTGGAAAACCATAGGATCGTTGCCAAAGGATACTGTTGATTGTGTCTGGGAATCTTCGTCTTGCGATCACAGCAACCTGCTCTAACTCTGGCTAAGATCTAGCCACCAGCATTACCCGGTCCACCTTACCAGGGCCAGCGCACCGCACCAAAAAAACGGCATGTTGTTGCATCGACTAGAACAAGTGTAATGAAACGCCAACAACACTCTTGAACCATTCTGGAAAGTATCGATTTGATCAAAGCATTCCAACAACTTCGATTTACTACTTGGCTGAGCCTCCCTGCAGCAGGTTGTAGATTGCAAATCGGCCGAGGGCCCTAAAGTTTGTACACCAGCTTCTCGCCAGAGATGGCTCCATCTCGATACACTTGGAACCCCTCATCAACGCCATCAAGGCCTCCAGAAATGACCTTGGGCTTGTTGGGCTTGAATTGTCCGCCTTCTATCCAACCCGGCAGCTTCTCATAGAACTCGGTGCCAAGTTTGTGGTCCTCTTCACTGGCCTGGTCCACCGTTAGTGAGAATCCTTTATGGAGTCTACAGAGCAACTTACCGGCCATTTGAACTCGGCGTACTGATGGTCCTTTAAGAATGCGGTCCAGACCAAGACATCAGTCACAGTCGTCTGCTTCGTCACGTCCTCGGTGTTGGCCTTTCCCGGGCGCACAGTGCAGAGTCGTCCGCCGCTTTCGTCAATGGCTTGGGATGCCTGGCCCGAAGAAGATTTGTTGCCGATGGTGTCAAATACATATTTCAGGCCGGGCGCTGCCCTTGTGATGGACTTGATTACGTCATCGTCGCGATAGTTGAAGACGTGCTTCGCACCGAGAGATTTCACCAACTCAAAGTGGCGAGGACTACATGTTGTGACCACGTTGAAGCCTTGCATCGTTGCGATTTGGATAGCGTACAAGCCGACACTTGCTGGCAAGACAAGTCAGCAGGAAAATTGCATGCAGACAGGGAAGGCTTTTGGGGAAAACACACAACTACCACCCCAAACGAGGACTGAAGTCTCTTCCCCGCTCTCCCGAGGAATCGCGAGGCATTCTTTTGAGAACAGAGCGAGCCAAGCCGTCACTGAGGCTAGAGGGATCGTGACGGCCTCTTCTGAGCTGATGTTCTTGGGAACACGGAAGCTGATGTTGTCGTCGGCGAGGGTGTACTCGCTGTAGCCGCCAAGACCCTTGATTTCGCCTGGAGCCACGTCAGAGTCTCATGGGACTCGAGAGTTCTCATTGAGAAGAGCCACCCACCTCCCCAAATGAGTCCGGCGACTAAATCTCCTTTTGAGAGCTTGCTGCACTTGTCGCCAACCGCTTCGACCGTCCCAACAAAGTCGCACCCAAGGACGGCGCCGTCGCCAAAAGCACTGCTGTCGAGAGATTGAACTGCGACTATGTGTCAGTACATTCAATTGATTCCCGTCTCTTCTTGAGAGTATCAACGGATTCGACCCACCGTCTGTAGGGTTCTGAGCAATGTGAGAGACTTTAACCAGGGCCTGGTGCGGGGCAGGTTCCGGGACTGGAATCGACTTCTTCACCATTGCCGGCGATCCACCGGCCGAAGCCACGGTCACCAGAGCTTGCATATGTTGTCCGACCATTTTTGTCAGAATTAGAGACTGAATAGACAATGTGATGGAGTGATGGGCTCGATGAGTTTTCAAGTCTGAAGTTCAAGTAGCCTACTTGTTCTTTGCATAGGCAGGTAGGAGAATGTTTAGTTCCCCTGCTTAATCAGCCTATAAGCCCTGTGGAACTTGGAGTCTCTTCGAGGCCACTAATTCACCCCGAAAGAGTAGACTAGTCATAATTAGCAACCCTTGATGACGCGGTCGTGATGAGGTACTACGTCAAAGAAACCCTCCGGCCACAAAGGGTGGGCCAATCGCAGACAAGAATGCACAAGTTATTTTGCATCACTTGGACTGGGGCATACCAGGTTATTATGCGAGGAAATACCGCCCAACGTCTTGAGGTCTTGATTACAACATGAATAACGTATTACTACATCCCACTGACTATGTATAATCGCTATTTCGGCATCGCGAGAACCAAAACGTTGCTGCGGAAACGGGCTCCTAACCAAGACTGGTTACCAAAAGGCTCTGACCTGATTTACAAGAATCAAGTCATTTTACGCAACTATCCCTCATCTCTGCGAACCCAAAGCCAGAAGGCATCAACCAGCAACATGCCTTCAACAACCAGCAAGGCAACAAGCCTGACAACGAGAAGGGACCTGAACCATTACAATATATTAGTCGGGGTGTAATAGACTGCGTTTATGTCTATGTAAACAATATCCCCTAATCTCTCATACCTTTTGTGCACGTGGTAAGAATTCTATCTAAACGTCTCTATTCCTGTGATCTGGCGAAAGAAAAACAGCGCAAAGTTCGTATATCGTCTTCGTCATTCATTCATTTTCCTCCCCTGTTCTCGAAGCCAGTCCCGCAGTTCAGACCGTTCTGTCCCGAGACTTCTCCAGGGCCACCTTTCTCAAGCTCAAATCCTTAAATGGGCGTCTAACATGGCGGCCCCAAAAAGACCTCACGACTTTGCCGAGTCTTTTCCGTCGTTTCTTACGTTGGAGATTGCCTTCTCCTTCAATCAACGCTCCTAAAGCATCTTTTGACGACGCAGCAGTAATGGCCTGTTCAGGTTCGCTCGTCTGCGTGATTGGTTCGCCATTTTGACCACCAGAGGGATCGGTTTTGTAATTGGACGCTGCGTCTTGTCCATGTTCACTTGATGGTATCACCTTCGTTTGTTGACCTGCCTCCATTTCCAACGCCGGGCTGGAAATTATACGACTCGGCGTCGACGTCACAACTTGGGTTAAATCTGTCTGTGCTTCTGTCCCGCTGAGCGTCATCGACGCCGTACTTGACCCGATACCGCTGAACTCTTCCTCTTGTCGTGGTGATTCGAGAAAATCACTCCCCGGGACCTCCTCTGCCACGGGGTTCCCTTTGTCGCTCCAATTCAAAGAGAACATGGAGTTGTAACCAAAAATTACAGCTCCCTTCCCGTTCAGCTGGACTTCACCTGTACTCCTTGGTACACGGTAATGTTTCCCGCTTTGTGATGTTAGAACTTGGACGATGTGAGAGTGGTCGACCTTGCCTGTCCCATCCGAGGTACACTTGCAGGGTTTGAAAAGATCATCAGGTAGCTTCCAGACGACACGTTTGCCGACCTTGACTTCGTGACCGTTGAACTTGATCTCAGGGGCGTCTTTGAGGTCCGATGCGCATGCTGCCAAGTAATACTTCTGCGAGGGCTGCTGCGCCCAGGAGCCACACACCGAATCGCCATCAACTGGACGGATAATCTCCCCAAAACCCTTTCCAAAGATCGCAACTGCGTTGATTTCTCTCGTAAAGTCAACCCAGCCCTTCGCAATTGTCTGGAGAGTCTTGACGCGGGGATAGACGAAGTCTTCGCCGGTAGCGAAGTCTCTGAACTCCCACCCCTCGAAATATTTCCTGACCCTCATCTTCAAATCTAAACCATCCTGTCGTTCGATAGAAGTTTGTTGTTCCATAGCCTGTTCCAACAGGCAGTAAATCTTCTCGACACGGTCTTCGAATCGGGTATATGTCGTCTTGGTCTTCGTGATCGTTGTTGGAGAAGCATCTCCCTCGCCAGAAGTCTCTTCAGTCCATGTCTCAACCTTATCAATGTGTATCTTCAGGTCCTTATTCTTCTGTTCCGTCAAAACCTCAAGGGCCGATTTAGCTGTGTGATGGTCCGTCGATAACTCCAGGCTCTCTTTCTTGAACCGGAGTTTTGAATTCATTTTCCCGTTGAGGTCGCTGTGAAGGGATGCCAGCACCATATGAAGCAACGCGCTGGGTCCATTGACGAGCCAACCTCTGTTCTCTTCTTCGTCCCAAAGAACAGCGTAATGCTTAGCGATCCAGTTCATCTTTTCGAAGTATGTGTCCCGAGCGATGTGAACAGGGGTTTGCGCAACTCCAAGGCGGATGCCCATGCCAGCCGACACAAACTTTCCACCGCTGATTGATATTCTGTCAAGAACGCATGTCGAATGGGGCCGGGGTAAAGCAGAACTTTCAATAGCATAGTTCACGTCATTGTCGATGGCGCCTAGATAAGTTAGATTACATAGTCGACCTACTAATCATGGGATCTCGGACCTACCTGCGTAGAAGTTGACCTCAGAACACCACCCCACGATATGTCTGCCATTCTCCAACTGTTGATATGTGGGGATATTGCTCAAGGCCGACTTGTGATCGAAGTAGGAAATATGTTGCCCGCTAGCTTTGTGAAGGTGATGCCAGAGAAATGTGCCATGATTCTGTGCGACCAGAAACAACATCGAGGAAAAGCCTTTGAGATAATATGTATCTCTGAAAGGCACAATTCGCTTCGTTCTCACCATGGAAGCCATCACGTCGAGAGACATCTCAAGACCAGTCTCCGCTGTTTCTCGTTTCGCTATGGGATATCCGCGGACGACGACTGGGTTCCTAAACATGCTATGCCAACATTGTCCGTTTGGAAATGCCGCATCATCTTTGGAGAATGTAAAGCCAATCTCGAAATGAAAAGCTTTGGTGGGAGATACCGGCTGTTGAAGTGTTCCATTTTTGACGTTCTTGATGTGAGGCGTGCAATAAATGATGCCATGTTCTCGAGGAGATGGTCGGAGGGCTGCTCCCAGCCATGAGAGCAGTTCTCCAAGGTCTGCAATAGTCGTCGCTGGCCATTGGAAGAGGCAGCCTGGAGAGCATTGCCGTAGTAGCCGCCCTGCGCGTTGACGTCTGCACCTTGATAGACCAGAAGGCTGGATACCCTTGAGAGTCCACCGAGACAAGTATAATAAAGGCATTCTGCTTTGGGGGGGTCAGGCTCATCCTCCCACGGTAGGTCGGGCTGATATAGATAGGCCCATCGTTTGAATGTAGTCTCTTTCTGGAAGAAAGCTACTGTCTCTTGGACGATCTCATCAGAAGATTCTGCTAACCGAGCGTGTTTCATGACAACTTCCGCAGCATATCGTGCCAGAGGGAAGTTTGCTCGCGTGGTCTGGTAGCTGGAATCAATGCTTCTGATGTAGGTGAAGCAAGTCCGCGCGATTGCGCTACTGGCAGTCTCAAGTTTGAACTGGCTTTGGTCCACCAGATATTTCTTGACTGAAAAGTGGGCGAGCCGTACTTTTCGTACAGTTGTTTCGTCTCGTTTGACCTTATCGATTGATATCAAACCGGGACAATAATTTAATATGTCGTCATCAGAAGTCAGTCTACGTCCCTTGATGAACTTTCGAAATCCCTCATTTATTAGTGTGGCAATTACGTCCACAGCTTCCGCTACTGTCAAAGGTCGGTCGGCATGAACGAGAAACTGTAAGAGACGAATTGCATCGTCTTTGAGGCTCGGCGATATGCTCTGAAGTATGCGCTGGTATGGGCGCGCCGCCGCCGATGCCGACCATGAGCCCAATGCGTATATTAGGGAAGCTATGCAGCATGTCTCGGGCCACTACAGCAGCCGAAGTTGAACCATACTCCCCGTCAAGCAAGACGGCGACCACAACGTTATGATGGCCGATCCTGCCCAGCGCATAGCTGTTTTTATCGTGCTCTGAGACAGGAGGGGAGTCATGGTGCTTCTCGTCGAAGAAAGCCTTCGCTGCGTTGAATTCGGTAGGCAGGGTGCATACCCAGCCGACTGTGTATTCTGCGGTGTCTGCCATGGGCGATGTTCTGACCACCAGTAGCGAACAAATCAAGTGGCTGGCGATAGGATACGAGCGCAAACGGCCTGGACGATGGTTAGGTATGGTTGATGAGGAAGAACAGTGATGATACTGCCACAAAATACCAAGCAGGTTGGAAACGCAAGAAGCGGGGGTTAGCTTCCCTTTCATTCCCAACCTACGTGAGATCAGGCTCTGGATGTGAGGCAAGAGTGGCAGGGTCGTTGACGCCTTCATGCAGCTGGATGCAGTGAGCTGAGCCTTCTGCAAAGCTGATTTGTGATGTAGGTTGGCTGCATCTTAGCCACACTTCGTTGGCGGAGAGAAGAGGGGTAGAGAAGTCATCTGAGGAGCCAAAACAAGCGGTATCATTTTGCGGAAAGGCAGTTATCATGAGTCAAATAGGGCTGCAAATTGAACGCAGAAACGATGAAACATATCATCTGGTTGCGAAAACGGTTTGGCGGGTGACACTGAAATCTCCTGTTCCGCATCAAGGAGAGCCTGGCCAGTGTGAATCGCACCTAGTGACCCTCCCGATGCGTTCAGCTTCAGAAGGTGGGCTCACTGCTGATGGTAATCTGCCTCGCGTGATGGGTCGTCTGAAATGTTCCATCCTTGCTATAGGTCCACACCCAAAAGCCAGGTCGAACCCCTGCAACACTCCCACCCCTAGCTTAAAGTGGCGATAAAGGGCCTGCGGAGTGTAAGCGTCGCTATGGCTCCGTGATGAAGCATGACGGAGACCCGGCGCTGGCGCCGCGAGCGCGCCGCCGGCGGGGACGGGAGAGTGATGTCACGGGCTAGAGCGCGGTTGAGATCTTCGGCCTTCCTTGCCGGAGCCCCGGAGCCCCGGAGCCGCTCTTCTGACGTAGTACATGGCCAGGGCCCGGGCCTGTAATGCTGGAGCCACGCGCCCATGCCAAAACGGACGCAAAATCCCTTGAATATCGCGTTTCACAGGGCTTCCACCATGAGTCGCAGCCCAGACAGCGTCGGGCGTTCATGTGGCAAGTCGCGCATACACGCGTCAACAATGGCTTGAAGTGGTGGGGGAACCGGCCACTCGACTTGGTTGGTGATGGGCGCATTGGCGTAGACCATGCACTTGATGCAATTTCCAATATCATATATGTCGGAAAAGGTAGTCCATCCAGAGTCCAGCCCGCCATCCGACGCGACTTCGGGGGCAGCTCGCTGACCCCAGCGGCTCTCGAGATCGCAGACAACCAGCCGACTTCCGTCGTCGGTAAAGAGACAATTATCAATACGCAGATCCCGATGAACGATGCCGAGGCTATGTAGACAGGAGAGAACGTCCACCAGGTGCAAGATCCAGCGCTTATATGTTGTGAGCGAAGAGAATCGCCCCAGGATGGCGCGCGTCGCCAGCTTGGGGAAGACCAGCTGACCATCGATGGATCTTCCAAGAAGACGCACCAGGTGTTCGGAAGAGACCGTTCCAGGGCAGAATCCACCTTGACATTGGAGGAGATTTTCAATCTCGCTGCGGTATTTCCCCCTCTTTACGAAATGTTTCGCAGACTCAACCTCGACGATGGGCAGTTGGTTAATGAGGTCTTCAATATCTTCAAAGTCATCCTCAATCTCGGGAGGCGGGTCGAGGCATTGGTCGAGACTGCGGATCTCGTCGCCTTCGATATCGCAATGGCCCTCTATCGAGGGAAGGTCGCGCTCCAGGCGCAAGATATCGCCCGAGAGCGTTCCTGGCAAGTCGAACAGACGCACGGATCGACCGAGTTCGGTGCCGTCCTCGTACCAGATGGTCATGGACGGGTTTTCTCCGTCCACGCAGGACGTATCGAGAACGGGCTGACCTGCGGGAGGAAACAGATTGGATGCCTGGCGCTTCCGCTGATATTCGGTTCGGACGCGGGCGACTTCCCGCTCGAAAAGGCTGTCGTCATCTGAGGCCATAGTACTGGCTTCAAAGACGACTACTGATCTGCCAAGAATTTGAAGAAAGGAGTAGAAGAGGGTTCTTGCTAAAGTGAGGACTAGCCCAGGTAACGAAGATGGGGTGTCTGAATGGCGGTTGGTTGCTGAGGCCCATTGCGCAAGAAACGCAGGGGGATTACCTATTATGGCGGATAGTGGTTAGCGAAGACGGTTAAGGTACCTTAGGCAAGAACAGGCGAGCGGGCGGCTAGTGCCTATACAATAATACATATGCATGTATCAGGGGCTCATACTACCTAGGGCTGAGCGGTCATCCTACCGTTTACTCAGATCACAATTCACCATGGCTAAAGTTGCTTATATTTATAACATTTACTCACCCTTGGTGAAGCTGACGCCCGGTTTATCAGCCGTGAGGTGACTTTTCACTACCTAGGTAATCGGCAACACTACTTGCGAAGCACGGGAATCGTCTCGGTGTCTGTCTAGCTCATTCCCACTGCAAGCTTGCAGAGGGAGAAATCATGGTAGAACGAGGAAGCATTTCAGGACCAGAGCAGCTGAGAGACAGTGGGCAGTATGATCCAGAGCGCTGGATGTCTGATGGCAGTGCCTATGAGTTAACAACTCGGAAGACAGATCAGCCATCACCGTAACTCGTCACCGAATTCGATCGTATTACAAAGGGCTTCAATCTCCAGGGCACTCTGGGATTGTAATATATTGAGGAAGAAAAAGATGCCCCCCCTGTGATCGAGTGGCCTGAAAGACGGAGGAACCTGACTCGGGAATTCGAGTCCATTGGACCCCTAGCCTTTCCCAAGAATTGTCTTTGCGATGGTACAATCAATGCAGTGACTGGAACCTTACTACTGAGGGTATGAATAGTCTATAGAGTAAGAAGAAGGAGCTCCTTTTGATTACATGTGATTTGATAACGGAGCTTTGCTCGGTTGCCACTTCCAACAGCCGAACCAAACGTGTGTGATGGCACTTTCAACATACGAATTTATAGTCACAACTGATCAATTTCCTAGCTTGCCATGCCCCAGCGGGGGGCGTTGACAATGACGCCCGCCAGACAGCCGGAGATGATACCGGCAGTAGGCAGTGTGATGATCCAGCCCATGTAGATCCAGCCGACCATACGCCAGTTGATTGATCGCCAGGTACCGGAGCAAAGGCCGACACCTACGGTAGCACCAGTGATGCACTGCGTGGTCGATACGGGAAGCTCTGGGTCACAGTTAGCGATCGTCTCGCGTGATGAGGTATGATGTTGAGCTTACTGAGACGCGTAGCCAGAATGATTGTGCACGCGGCACCCAACTCCATGGAGAACCCACGGGCAGGCGAGTGAAGGGTTAAGCGGTTACCGAGGTTGCGCATAATGTTGTATCCGTAGGTCCAGATACCCAGAGCAATACCGGCACCGCCGAAGCAGAGAATCCAGATGGGCACCTCGGACTTGCTACCCGAGAGAACACCTGTGTTCCAAATCTGGAAGATGGTGGCGTAGGGCCCGATGGCATTGGCGACATCGTTGGCACCGTGGGTGAAGGAGGCAGTGCATGCGGTCATGACTTGCATGAAGGAGTACAGGAATTCGGCCTTGTTGTCGTAGTGCTGGACACGAGCGTGCATCTCCTCCAAGTCGCCGGTGAGGACGCTCTCCTTCTTCTGCATGTTGATGATGTCCTGGTCGACACCGGATAGGAAAACCTTCTTCACCATCCAGAAGAGGACGGCGCCAGTATACCAGGGGCCCTCGGGACGGGGTCCGACGATGGGCTTATGAACGTAGGCTTTGGGACGAGGGGAGGCCGCAGGGGAGTCGGTAGAATCTTGGGCAACCTTCTTCTCGCCGTCGGCAGAGCCAGTCTCGATGTCGTTGCTGTGGGTTTGAACAACGCCGCCACTGCGAGCTACGTCAAGCTCCTCCTTGGTCATGTGCCCAGCGTAGAAGTCGCGGATACCACCGCCGTAGCCTTCAGGTTGAACAGGAGGCTCAGGGCGACGGAGCAAAAGAGGGCCAAGGGCAATGTGATACCAGCGGAGTTCCCAATCGTCTTTGACGACCACGCGATAGAGCCAAGGGAGAAAAAAGATGGTGATGATGAGAGCCCAGGCGGCACCGACTCCGATAATCATTCCGGCGGTCTCGGCATCGTTGAAGTTAACCTTGATCGATCCACCCTTCCAGACAATCAGCATGGTCAGGAGGGAAGCGGTAATGCCGAAGTACACGGGTACCAGGGCCAGGCCCTTCATGACTGGATTCTTCCGCAACATGACGCCGTATTTGGTGATGGTGAAGATGATGGCTGCGAATGCACCAGAGATACCAGGAGCGATGATCCAGGCGAGGAAGACAGAGACGACACCCGAGTCAATGCTGCCACTCGAGGAAACCCAGTGGATGTTGTCGGCACCGATCAGTGCGACACCCATGCCGATGACACCGCCCATGATGGAGTGAGTTGTTGATACCGGGAGACCGATTTTGGTGCATATGGTGAGGTAGATCGAAGAGGCCACTACGGCGCATGTCATTCCAAGCATCAGGAGAGCCGGGTCATTCTCGAAAAGGTCAATATCCACTACATTGGTCAATCAGTCATCATCTTCGTCGATCACACAAGCAGGTTTCGTACCAATCTTTGTGCGAATGGTGTCTGCGACGCGAGCGCCGACACCAACGGAACCGGCAAACTCGAGGATGGACCCTAGGGTCATGGCTTGAATGTAGGAAATTGACCGTGACGAGACCGACGTCGCCCATGAGTTGGCGACATCGTTGGCACCTTTGAGAGTCAATCTGTCAGCCTGGCTATGCCTAGAGAAGACGTGACTTCAGTTTCGGGGGTGTATACCAATATTCCACGCATCGAGGAATGCGAAGATGGTGCCAATGGCAAAGATGTAATCATACTGATGCAGAGGCATGTTGGATCTTTTCGCACAGTTCGTGCAGAGCCTGACGTTTAAAAAAGTTGACGATAATCGAAAAAATGTATCGGACTGAAATGTGAGTCTGTTTGGCGAATAAAATTAGGGAATGTGGAGAGATCGAGGGCCCTGAAGTTGGCAGGGGAAGCAAGGCCGGAGAGGGTCTGGTGTTCGAGAAGTCGACATGGAAGCTGGAAGGAAGGCACCGGGAGGGCTTAGAGGCTATATACCACAGAGCGTGCAAAAAAGCCAAGAGGTTTCCGTGAGGCAGTCCCTCCATGTCCGCCTTCCAAGATGCGCATGTTCCGTCCTCCTTCCGTCCATGACTGTGGCCGGGGTGCGTTCAGGGTGTACTGCTGGAAACGGTGGCTGCACACCACCATCAGCAGGGCCAAGACGAGGAAAGGCACGTTCGGTTCTGTAAGAGGTACAGATACAGAATCAACCAGAATCAACCCACCTAAAAGTCCTCGCCACATCCCTCGCCTGCATAGCTACGGATCAATGAACCCTGCAAGTGTTCAGGTGGGCAGTTTTCCAAGGATTGCCGGATCTATTGGTGCAAGCTAGAAGAGGATTATTTCCTCTGAAGAACCCATTGGGCGGCTTTGACGTTGTTTGAAGACGCGTAGCTCCATCATTGTTGGAGCACTGCTGTAGAATATAACAAGACAGATTAGTGCCCCTACGACCAGGAGTTTCTCAAAGCCGTCTTTACTTGTTCTTGATGCTAATGTCCCATAATCTATGTCGGCATCCTCGTGGACTGGAGGAGTAACCCGAGCTCGATTCCTGTAGCTCGCAGTGGCAACACTGACGGCAAGACAGCACGATGTATGATAGCGTGATGCTTCCTCGGTGGCAGAAAATAGATGCCAAGGCTGAAGCAGTGGAATCTCGGGCTGGCATGAACCTGCATGGGACGGGATGGGTGGATAGGGTATGCCCAGACAAGGAAACCTGCGGGCAGCAAGACACATTCTGGCGTCTCCCACGTGCCTTGAATAGGGTTGCGTGCTTGGTGAGAATCGCGTCTCTGCCCAAGGATTTTCGGCCTCAGTCTGGGTTCATCGACGATGCCAGAGTGCAAAAGCGAGGAAAAAGGTCGATGGGTTGGTTCAATGAGGCTTGCTAGGTGGCGCGGAACGACCAATAGAACCCGAAGTTGGACATTGGATTTCCTCCGCCGAGCCTCCAAGGGATCCCAGAGAGCTTCGGCAAGGGCCGACACTGGAAGATGGATGCTTGGAACATGCAGAAATACAGGCGTGGAATTGGGCGTGATGAGCTGTGAAGACACAAACAAATGGGCGACGACAACCTGAGGTCAGAGGTCGTGAAGTCAGAAGAACCGGGAAGGAGGTACGTTCTGGACCCCTCTTTCCCAAATCAGCCACCGAGGCCCTCATGGGTGGGTCACCTTAAGCGACTTGGCGCGCCCAAGCGCCAAGGCCACACGCTCTCAGGAAGCGCCAAGCGCTGTAAGAAGACCAGCAACGGCCCCACTGCCGACACCCCCGGCACCGCAACTGCCGAATCACCGCTCTCGAATCCCCCACGTGCTGGGTCCCGTCGCTTCGTGTGGATTTTCCCCAGCTGCATCCCCGGAGCTGCTCACCTTCGATATCGCAACTCAGTCGCCAGCACCATCAGATCAACCGTCCCCCAAATGACTTGAAATTCCTATATATCCTGCGCCCTCCGCCAAGCAGCCAAGGGGCCAAGAGCTCTCACGCTTCCCGAATAGCTCCGCCAGTCGACTCGTATCGCCATCGAATGTCAGCGCCCGATTGCTCCCACGCGCGTGTCCGCCCCGACGTCTAATTGGCACCCTTCGCCTTCTTTGTCTCCGTCCGAAAGTTCCTCGACTCCAATACTTCCCCGATACAGCTCGATCTCCGACTTGACTTATCTTGCGCTCCTCCTCCTCCTCCTCCGCCAGTGATGCCCTCCAATTTCCCTCCCTCGAGGCTAGTTCCGTCCGCAAAACGACAGGCTGGCAGGGCTGGGCAGGCAAAGAAGAGTTTTTACGAGCCGTGCGTGGCTCAATTCGGTGTCGATTTCGTCCATTTCACTCGGCGCTCACTGTCACTGGCGTGTAGTCCTTGTGGACCGATCCCGTCACCCCGGTATTGGCTGTCACATACTAACCTCCAACCAAGAAACCCAAGAAACCCAAGAATTACCAAGCCGATTCAACATCTTTCAGTTGACGAATCATATGCACGTCTCGAAACCCGTGGTCGCGCCTCAACAGCCTGCATCTTTCAGCTGTGTTCCTTGCTCTAAAAGCTCTGCGCGACTGTGGACCTCATTGCTCATTGAAGTATCCGTATCGCCTCGGGTGATTGATGAAAGGTTGTCAAGGGTACATCTCGTGGAAAATGCTGTACAAGAAGCGTTCTCCTCATGTATATGCGCTATCCGCAGACAGATCGTACTCGAAAGGCCGTGACTGTCAGCCACATCTTTGCTGAACTCTGCCATAGCTGTTTTGTGCTACTTCTGCTAATCGGTAACTTCACTCTCCTCAGGACGGCTCGCTCAAGAAAATCACTCACAAAATTTGCCAATCCTGAACAGTAGGCTTTGAGACACTTGAAGATCTTGATGGTCCGTGGCGCCGCAACACCGCCGACCTCCAAGCGGCTCGCCAATGTTTCCAACGGCGTATCGAGAGCCTGGATGCTGTTTCAACGACGATGTGCCCCTCCATCAATATGATTTAGAGTCACCTCTCCCTAGCCTATTTGCGGATTATCACGATAATTTCGGAACGATTGGTCTACACATCTTTGAAATTCTGTAAATCCATCCCGTAGCTGCGACTAGGATCCATCAGCTACTCTACTCAAGAAGCCTTCTCAAGTTCTCCTTCAGCGCATCCCCGCCTTCATCCCACCCAGACTCAACTTGGTCCTCAAAATTCGACCCATAGCGATTGCCTTCGTCCAGGAGTGCCACGGTAGAAAGAGCCGCATAGGCCTTGGAGTTGAGTCTGTCAGTAACACCATTTTCCGTATCCTCTTGCCACATAGCATGAGCCTTCTCCGCGAACCCATCAAACGGGACATCGACAATCTTCCAATTCTCGAGACCGAGGTCCTTCACCACCGCAATCAACTGGTTTGTCGATACAGTATGGCTGGCAAAGTAGGCAGCTCTATTTCGGTACTCTTCCGGGTTGTTCAAAACAGCGACGAGGGCCTCGCCGTTGAGTGCGCGGCGACTGATGCTGTATTTCTGATCTCCAGAACCGTACCGCGTGACGGTACGATTCTCCTTGTTGACCCAGAAAATGCCGCGCTCGATGGTCCAGTCGTACCACGGACCCGAGATGATGGCTGTCCATGCCAACGACCCGTTGGACTCGGCGACAACCCGCTCGACCTCACGCTGTGCGGTCAACTTGGGGTTGAAAATGACAGCCTCTTTAGCATTGGGGTGGAATGTATTGCCGCTAAAGTCTGGCGTGATGATGTGCTTGACTCCGGCGGCCAGTGCTGCTTGCAAGATGTGCGTCTGATAGGATGCGGCTGCTGGGTTGAATGCTTCGACAACGGCGTCTTGGTCTTTGAGTGCCACTGTGAGGGCAGCGACATCGGAATAATCGGATACTCTGACCACGACATCGATGGGCAGGTTCCTCTTGCTGTCAGTTCTGGTGATGCATGTCACCTCGAAATCGGCTTGCAGTAGGGCTGGTATGAGAACCTCTCCCAATGCGCCAGTGGCCTATAGTGTTGGTCAGGGAATTGATACACGATGTCAAGCCAGCTGTTTGACTACTCACGCCAAGCACTGCGACCTTCTTGATAGCTGTCATTGCAATTCGCGGGGTGCACAAGAAGTGATCAGTTCGTTGAATAGCCAAAGCTGCTAGCAAATAATCCTGGATTCCTGGATTCCTACCTCCGAGCAAATGGTCCTTATATTTATCCAAAACCACCATGGGTGCATTCATCCTATTGACGTACTTTACAAATCAGCTAACCTTGGAGCTCAACGTTATGGTGTTTTCGTGACGGTGGTGTGTTTATTTGGTCAGCCACGTTATTGCACCATCGCTGATGAGTAACACTTGCAAATTGTACTTGTGGTATAACGTTATCTCCTGTCCCACACGCCATCTCACGCACCTCGACGCTAGCTTCATTTCTCTCTTTCGCTTCTTAATTAATTTGCTCATCCTCCTAAAGTCATGCGGCTAGCAACCCGAAGGAAACAGCTACTTTTAGCCGATACGTGCAGTCCCCTTCACACAGGGAATTGGACAATTTCACTAGAGGAAAGATACATGTAATTTTACCGGATTCTGAATTCTTGCATTGGATCAATGCATGATGCGAAGCTCATGGATGTGATATTTTGGTACCGGCCCATCACTCAATGTTATTTCGCTCTCTACGAGTGCGCAACTTCTACCTTGTCCTTCTCGAAACCGATGGACACATTCTCAGTGTCGTTTCCAGCCTTCATAACCTTTGACATTTCCTTGGCAACCTTGACTGGATTACCACCCGATGTGAAGAATTCGTCAATGTCTTCCAATCTGAAATTACTCGTCTCAGGGTAGAAGAAGTAAATGATTGGCACAAACAGGAAGTTGGTGACCACGAAAATCAAGTAAGCCTTCCACTGAAGGCGGTTAATGATCACCGGAGTGATCATTACGACGAAAAAGTTCCACAGCCAGTTGGAGCTAATGCCGACGGCCGTACCGCGAGTTCGTGCGTGGAGAGGAAGAATCTCGGGGACGACGACCCACGGTACGCAGTTCATTCCCATACCAAAGATCAAGTTATATCTGCAAGTGTGCGTGATCAATGCTAGCCCCTCGAGACAGCTTCCAAGCAGCAAGACTTACAGGAAGAAGAATGCCACAGACGCCGAGGCACACGCTTGACCACCAGAGAACCCGACTCGTGACAGTAAGATGGAGATCATGAGCATGCAGAGGCCAAGTCCTGCACTTCCCCACATCATCGTTTTGCGACGGCCCATGCGGTCCAATGCCAGAGCTGGCAAGATGGATCCAAACATGAACATCATCTGCACACAGCCACCAATGATCTGGGCCATGTGCGGCGTCATGCCAACATTTTGTACCAGTACTGATGGAATGTAATATACGACGAGGTTGATTCCCCCCAGCTGGTTCATGAATTGAGCACCCCAGGCAAGCAGCACACGGTGGCCTGTTCTTAGCCGATCATTCTTGAAGATGCTGACCCAGGAGGAGGACCTTTTCTCGACTACCTCGAGCTCAATAGCGTGGTGAATGGCGTGGACCTCGGTCCGGATATACTCATCGGTGGGTTCTTGAGCAAACACGTCGCAGAGGACCTGGACAGCTTCCTGCTCTCGGCCGTGCTTGAACAGCCAGCGAGGAGACTCGGGGAGGGCAAAGACTAGAACCACGACAACGAGCGCAAAGATGATTTGGAACGCGAGGGGCAGTCTCCAAGCGATGGGGCCGCCAACAAATGACATGCCGAAGTCGAACCTGTCTACATGAGCAACAATTAGGAAGAATTGATGATCGTTAAAACATACCAGTAGGCGAAGACAATGCCCACACCGACAAACAAGGTTTCGGCAGAGACAAGTCGGCCTCTGTACTTTCGATCACAGAGCTCGGATTGGTACCTATCAGGGTCATGATGAGGAAATGTCCTGCACATTAGGGGCCCATTCCGGACGTACATGGGGACGGTCGATGTCTTCATACCGGTTCCGAAACCGGTGACCAAGCGCCCGATAACTAGATGAGGCACTGTGAACGCCGTCGCTTGGAGAGTAGCGCCAACAATTACGAGACTCATAGCGGTCCAGATTGTCTTTCGACGGCCGAGCTTCTCGCCAAAGATGAAGTTGACTGTGGTCCAGGGACATCAGCACTGCTTGTCCAAATCTTGCGAGCTCTGGGGAAAACGCCGACTTACGAACACAACCAGCCAGGCATCCCAGATTGTAGCATGAGACGATGATGCCAGTTTCCGAGTCAGAAGGGTGGCCGAACTGGTCCAACCAATCCTCCATCTGGAGAATGCCACCGAAAACTCCCTGATCATAGCCGAATAGGACGAATGCGATCAGGCAGCATATCGTGACGCCGACCTGAAGGCTTCTGCCTCGGCCCAGAGTAAAGAACATATTGTTGCGTCGCTGCTAGACTCGTAAGGAACAGTGAGTCCGTTAATGTTCCGGAAAGTTTTGGGTGGCCGCTGTCTTATGTATCAGGTTGACACCCTCGTCGTAGAGCAATCAGCGGAGACTTTGGCAAGGAGAACTCGGGGCTCAGAGTGTTATAACCCAGGTCATTCTCCGACTACTATTGGCACTAGCAGATTGGCGATCTGGAGGTTTGGGTGGGAAATTGGGCCTTTCGGAGGCAGATCTGTGGAGATAACGCGGGGAAGTGCCAGATGCTATTCGAAGTCAGACTTCGCGTGGCTTATGCCTGTCGAAGTTCGAGGACCGCATACGACAAAAGAGTGACAAGTCCCCAAGATGGCGCTTGCGCTTGCATCTTGCTTATTGCGGATAACTTTACCCCTTCTAATACTCCCGCAGCGGCAACAAGGCTGTTGGCGCGGAAGACGGACGAGGGGGGGGGTTCTGAGGAGTTTGAGTTCACGAGCCGAAGAAATAGAGTAGTACTATGCACCTCTTGTGCACCAGTGATCTGCACGGCATTACCCAGTTAGCCCTGCTGGAGTGGGTTATCCGGGGCTTGGAGCGCGTAAGTCTACCTGTTTTGGTGTCAGGATCTGGGGATGCTGCAGGTGAATAACCGTGCCATGATGGGGTTGATATGCAGTCGTCGCACGCTGCTCAGGCGTGATGACGTCCTGGCATCGGAGAGGACACGCTGAAATATGCGCACCAATCACGGTTGCATTTCTGTAACACAAAAACTCTGGCCGACAGATCTCAAGGCCTGGAAGTGCGACAGATACCTTTGCACCGGGCCATCAAGCGGTAGCCCCGTCATCAAGAGACCAAGGCAAGAGCCAGTCATTGGGGATAATTGTGACGTTAGTGATTACGTAGGAATCAGTCTATGGTCAGGAAGAGCATCTAACAATGTCCTTCTACATGGCCTCCGTATCCTCAAGTACCACCTACATGAACACAGGCCTGGTGACAGAAAACGTGCTTCTGCTCATTAAACTATAGTGTCCCAGACGCCTTCATATTTTGAGATCGTATTGTCTCTTCACGTCCTTATTGTAAAAGTAGCGAATGAAAAGAACAGTTAGTGCGCTTGCTGCCCCGAAACCAGCCGTGATGTAGTTACCAGTGACGATGTATGGCTGGAGATTGGCAGGGAAGGTGAAAATAGGCACCCAAGCGGTAAAGATGTAGGCAAAAGCGTTCATCTGATAGTGGCAAGCGCCGTTAGCTTTCATCTCTCGCTTGAAAACAATAGACGCTAGTTGAAAAGGAGTGAGACGTACCATGGCAGACACGTACGCCCTCTTTTCAGGATCGTTTCTGTTAGTCTCATTCACCCATGTCCAGGTGATGCCAGCACATGTAGTCGCTAGGGCGGTGAGGTCTGATGGGGGAAAAGAGTAAGCAATCAGTAGGTATGAGACGGAAACAGCAGTGGATGAGGAGAGACTTACAGTACAACGCCCATCGAGTTGCGATATTCGCTGGATGCACGGGTGTGGCAGCCAGTGCAATTGGGAATATGATGCCCATGACGCTAGCGAATAGCATGCCGGGCCAGCGAGATGCTCCAGGCAAGCTGTCCGAAACCCAAGAGTTGACAAGGGTAGCAACGATGGAAATAATGTTGATCTAGCCCAGATGTGAGCTACGGTGGGGTTTATCAGGCAAGGCGGGGAAAAAACTCACTCCGAGAGGGATAATGTTGATCTCTGCCACAGAGAAACGGGCTGGTTTCCCGGGTACGTTGTAACTCTTGACCCAGAAGATCACTGTCGAGATTAGACAACAGACTTATCACGAGAACGGCCATTGATTTGCCAACTTACTTGATCCTCCAGACTGTCCCAGTTGTGTAAGGAAAGTAAAGAACAATGGAACTTCACAAGTCAGCTTCCATGAAACGTAAACGGCGAGAGAGACCACTTACAGAGGTAAACGTGCCACGTCGTGTGCCAGCGTTTGATATCTTTCCACTTGAACAATCCAGTGCGAGGCTTGACCTCGGTCGGCATTCGGGAGCGAGCGATCTCGATTTCCTTTTCCGTGAAAATCCTGAAAGAAGCGGAAATCAAATCATTAGCTGTGCCAAACTCGCTGTTCACGGTGACAACATGTACAAACCAGTTTGCCTTGGCTCGGGAAGGAAGCTGGGGCATTGCGAAACCGGTCCAAATTGCACAAGGGAGAGAGATGCAACCACAAACGCTGGTTCTCCGTCAGACCATTTACTTCATCCAAGGGCCAACCAGTTTACCCGGGTGATTGAGGGACTCACATGTACATCCATCGCCAGCCTGCGAGGCCGCTTCTGCCGTCTAACCCGGCATATACGGCGGCCATCAAGAAGCCCGAGAATAGTGGCCCGACGGAGGTGAAGATTTGAATCAGGGTGTTGCGCCGCGCAAGTTCGTGCGGCTTGTAGTAACTCGAACACACGTACATGACGGCGGGAAAGTGACCGGCTTCAAACAGGCCAACACTGAATGACGGTTAATGAATTCTGATCGGAATATGTAGAACCACAATGATATATGTGAGAATGGACATCAATGATCAGTACGGAGACTTACAAGAAGCGAAACACGTAAAGCTGTTTGACATCTTTGACGCCGGCAGTGGCGAAAGTGAAGACCGTCCAGGCAAACTCAAGGAACGCAATGTAGAGAGGGGCGTTGACCTGATTTTCTGTCAGCAATCCAGGCGATATGATTGAAGCTCCAGTATTGGGGACTCACTCGAGTAAGAAGCAGGTTCGAAGGTATCTGTCCGAAAACGTAGGCAGCACTCCAAATCGCGTTGGCGTAGTTGAGCTCTTTGCCATACAGCGAAAGATCCTCTTTCATACCACTGTCTGGAAGGAACCTTAGCGGAAGCTCAAGCGAGAATTAGCCGATGATGCCGCACTTACTGAAGGCATTTGTAATGTTGACTTGATCAAGATAGCGACACATTACACCAAGAGCCGACGCCGATATGAGCGTCAAGTCTAATTTTGTAAGAAATCGTGCTTCGTCTTTTGGAACATCAAGTGCTGCAAACAGTCAGAAATCTAAGCGTTTTATCCCTTCACCTTCAAGTGACTAACTAGACCAGAGAAATGACTTCCATGTTCTCTGAGGTTCAATGTATGTTGCTGTCTCGGCGTCTCCCTGGTGTGGTCCTTTGACTCCGTCATGAGCTTCATTCTCGCTTTCGCCAACGACGAAGGCATGCTTTGGACTCTTTTCGTGAGAAAGTGACATCGTTGCTAGGCAAGAGGCATATGACACAGACCGTGCGTGAATTATCCTCGTTAAAATTTTTGTGTCGGACTTTGATGGGCTTATCTACAACACCTGTGAATCGTGTGTATGCTATTTTCCACCCCAGAAACCGTTGCCCGGAAGTCGGGTTTGTTGTCGTCTTCAGCGGGTCCCATGGCGACATCGACAGTCGGCTCAGAATGTGTCTGCTAGTCATGGTTATCAACGCCACACAACCTCTATCGGTCTCCAGGTTGGTGTGAGACCAATGAGTAGCCAGGCATTCAGGATACCATTTCGATAATGCAGACGCCTCTTTGGGAGCTACCGATGTCGGGAACATGGGGCGGGTTGTCAATTGCGGCCAGTGAGGAAGTACGAGTCCATAAACACCAATGATATCGACAAAAAGCAGGCATACAATGGCGTGCTTGAAAACTCGGCAAAACTCCGCGGTTAATAATCGTCAAGTTGTCAAAGAGCCATTGAACAGGGCTCAAAATGGCATTTGCTCCGGCCCATACTCAACAGAACCACATCGCTTAAATAAGCCCGACCAGGCGCGATGGCACAATCCTTACACACTCAAGAGACTATGTGCCCTTCTCGGCGGCAAAGCTTTGAATGATGGCGAGAATTTCCTCGCTGAAGCGTATCACTAACATTAGCACAAGCTCACGAGAGGCCCGGGCGAGAATTAATGAAGCTTACTATAGTAGCGTTGACGCGAAATGTAGGCTGCCTCTGAGTCTGATCAGCTGTACTTCCATCTCTAGTTGACGTCGCACAGCCTTTGACTAACACGACTCATGTAAAATGCTCTCGAGTTCTAACGTGCGAGTAGTAGAGTGGGGTGAATGCATCTTGAGCAGACCAGTTGCACTTAAAGAAGCTGACAGGCTGAACTGGCATGCTTCTTCATCTGATTGATTCCAACTCTCCGCCAGCTAGGTTAGGAGAGCTTAGTGTAAAGAGATCTGGCCTGAGATCAACGTCAGCAATGTGTCGCTGCTTGCAAGTATTTGTTATGTTCTAAACCTCAAAATTTTATTTGATTAGGCACCAAACCATCATGCCATTGACGAACCAAGCCAGAGCCTCATGTCGTTCGATACGATACCGAACACGAGCCTCCAGCGCTTCACTGGACCAAGGTTCCTGATTTCAAAAAGGTTAAGCTTTTTCATCCCGACGCGGGGTCGACGAGATTAAATTTACCCCATCCACCCCTTCTCGATGGCATGAAGATGTTTGAGGTCTTCCACGCGTCTGATCAAGGTTTAAGGAGTCGTGCCAGATTAAAAAGAGATCAGGTAATCTGGAGTTTTGGGTTGTTTATCTCTCAACTTTCTACACCAACCAGTTTATTTTCTACGCTTCTCCAACTATTCACGACTGGTCGACGCTTGAACTCGAGCCATCATGTGCATCACAGATTTATTAGTGATGTGGCAGGCATTGGCTGCGGGCTGTATTCTCGTAGCCCTGTACTCCGCCTACTCCTTATACAGAGCTCGCCATTTCTTCAGGGCACTCCAGCTTCAATGACTGCCAATGCCCCCTCACAACGCGGTCTGGGGCCATCTCAAGTTCATCAGTGATCAAGAAGGACTTGCCCCCAGGCATCATGCCATCAGCAGCACTTGCCCACGAATCCGCTTGCGATGTTCACCAGACATCTCGATCAGGCCTTTGAACTAGACCGGTGGCCCTTTTTTTTGAAGCTCATGGTAGTCGTTCTATCGCTGGCTGAAGCTTGACAGGTAACGCAATGTCAATCTCTTCCGAAAGAGCCTGGAATGTCCTGAAGCCACTCACGGATGGCTATGACCTGGATACCATGGAAGGGGAAGAATGGTAATTCTAGCTTAATATCTTTAGCCCGGGCTTCCGAGTCGCGAATATTGCGGCGCTGGTACCAAGCTTGGTGGAGATGGCTGAAATAATGTGATTGTCTCGGGCGATGTTCGAGGATGGACGACCTGGTTTCGCTGAGTGCAATGGCTCTCTCGACCTCACCATGGAATTTTCAAGCAAGGTCATCATGGGTCACGACATGCGTTGCCAGACAGGCTGTAACAAATGTGCCGCAGCGATGGCATGGCAACTCAGCTGGCTGCATTATCGCCGCACTTCTCCCCGGAGAGCCGCCAACTTTATCAGGCCTATCATCCAGCGCTTCAACACTTGGCGAATGGACTCATACATCAACAAAGTATACAGGAGAGTTCAGAAGCGGTATAAAGTCGTGAAACGAAATCCATCCCCTTTTTGGATACGGCCAACGAAGCCCAGGACAAAGGTCATCTACTGATGTTTCCTGCTGGAGCTCAGTCGCAGGTCAAGTTTATGATACCTGCTGGTTACGACACAACCGGTTCATCAATTATTTCTTGAAAAATCTGTTGTCGTAGTATCCGAAGGTATTGGGACGCGTTCGAAATGGCATATCCGGCTCTGGCTTGGGTGCAACGGCAGGACTCATTGCCTCTCAACCAGGGGTTCTAAATCAGCTTCCTCACTAACACGACTGCCGTCATCAAAGAATCGTTGCGAATTTACCCGTTCGGAGGTACTCAGAGCTTGAGTCAAGGCGAATTCAATGTTCTTGTCGAACGGTCCTCTCCGAGCTCGGAAACTCATAGAGACGAGAATTCCACAGAGGTACCAAGGCCCCTACCGACAAACAACGTTTTTGTCATTCACTACGCAGTTCATCATAACCCACGCTATGTCTTTCGCCCAAGCGAGCTCATCCCAGATCGGTGGTTGGTGAAGAATGAAGAAGATCCGCTGCAACCTCCTGCGAATCATTGGCGTGCCTTTGAGAAAGGGCGAGGGACTTGCGTAGTGGAAGAAATGGCCCTGTCTGAGATTACATGTAGGACGGTGTGTGTTTTGACTGTGAGGGAGTTTTATTTCAGACCTTCTTATGAAGAGACTGGACAAATAGAGAAGTATCATGGAGATTCTGTGTATTTGGTGATTTGTGGGGGGGGGGGGGGGCCAAACCGGAGCGGGTTCTTTCCGTGTCGAGTAGGTTATGCCAAGAGATGGTGGAGAGTCACGAAGTCTCCGTAGATGATTATCTTGGCTTCTTTGTCACTTTGGCCTTTCTTGAACGGTTAGAAATGTCTAGGAACCTACAAGTCTTGATCTAGTTTCCTGCGTCGTCTGGACATCTAAAGAAAGTTGAAGTGGAGAGTCCACAACAAGATGCGGTGTACATAGTCAGTGACGAAGTCAAGGCAGACATTGCAGGCGCATTGACTGCGGGGATGGTGGCAGTATATTAAGATTCAGGAACAAACCAACATATAAGTACTGCCAACGGGTGTTCCGTCCTTGTTGTCAAGAATATGGAAGAACTTGCCAATCTCCTGCTGCAGCCAGATCCAGTGGTTGCTACGACGAACACTCAACCGGTCGATGGAGTTCGACGTAGTGACTCCCAAGGCTGCCAATTTGCAGAGATAGAACAAGCAAGCAGACAATATAATATAAATCGATTCCCGCCATGAAATTCTCTAAATGATCCATGGTTTTCACTGTGTCAATCATGCCCCGATCTTCCGGCTCTCCCAAGGATTTCTCTGCCGTGTCTTCGTCACATCACCTCGCTGCCAAGAAATGAAGTCGTGGTATCCAAAATCACGAGGATAGTCCAGAGGCTTAAGCTTGGCCGACGGTCCAAGAAATCTTCCGACAACGGTGTTGTTGAGCACCTTTCCAGCAGCACCCTTGGCGGACTCGGCCTTGTCAGTAAGCCACTGTCTCCAAGACCGCTTCTCTTTGGGCTTTTTCGCTTTAATCTCGGCCCTTTCTCGCTCCTCGCGCTCTTGTCGCAATACCAGCTTATGGTTGATGTCAATGAAGAGGCGCTCCCACATCCCGATGCGCTCCTCACGTAACGTCCGCGCGCCTTCTCTCGCGTCGTCGCGGGTCCAGACCCAGTGGTTCTCGGCTTGTTCCAGAAGACAGAGATCTGATTCGAACGGCACCTGGTGGACAACAAGTGTATGGCCCTTGTGGGATTCGAGGTCTACCGTGTGCCCGCCATGAACGGATGAGACGGTGCCGGTGAGGGTTTCGTAGGTCGATGCAATCGGGTGCTTGGGGTAGGGATCCTCAATCTGAAGCGGTCCTGTGCTCTTCTCCAGTCTGAACCCATTCTTGGTCAAGGCCGCGCATTCCCATTCGCCAACGTCATCGAGACCCTTTCCATCGTAGAGGTATCGAATGCGTACTGAAGGATGGACGAGCTGGTTCGGGTTCACGAGGCGGCTTTTCCCGTCGTCGGTCTTGTATAAACCCGGCGTTCGGGTGCCCAAGACGGTGTTTTCACCCTTCAGCTTCTGCCATGGATACCAAATTGCATTGTATGCCTGATCAGGAATGGACGTGGCCTTTCCAGGGTTGGAAATTGTGCCCTTTGCCCATTCTTGTGCTTTGACACCAGGGGTGAGAGTCCAGAAGACGCGCTTCATCTCAGGAGTGCTGAACTCGACTCCAACAGAGGTAAGCTGGTCCGCCATCCCTGAATCATCTTGTCAGTTACCCTCTCAAATACAGTAGCGGCTTCAAACCATTGGACGCTGGGGTGTCTTACAGGCAAGCGCTATGGTGGCGATTTGCTGGTCTTCGAAACCTCCACCAACGTTACTGTGGCTGCCAGGGAACCAAACTTGTCGAAGCTGCGTATGGTCGTTGCCATTCATGCCCCACAAGGTTGGTTTGAATGCGGTGCGCCATTCGTCTAGTGCCAGAGCATGGAAGGCATGGTCCACGTTGGGGTGAACATCGAGACTGGCGAAGCGCAGCTACGTGGTATCAGTCTCATTGTTTCAATCTCCTCAATTGGTAGTGGCCTTGATATATTCTTCAACTTACCTCATCAGCGCTGCGGTCTTTGCGGATCTTCTCCCAGGGCATCTTTGGCCAGCCCAGACTGCCAACAGTATCCCACACGGCTGATACGGCCATAGTTAGATGAGGTGTGATTCTCGCTATAGCGTGTAGGACTCGGTTACTGACCAACTGCTTTGACTTTGACGTTTGTAGGGACCCAAACGTCCTGCCATATGCTGTCTCGAAATTGGCGCTGCTTCTCGGTGAGGATCATTTGGTGCTGGGGGAATCAATCAGTGTCCGGCCCAACCAAATTACAAGAAGACGGAGTTCTCATTACCTCTTCGAGCTTGAGTCTGTATTTCGCAGCCATTGCACGGAGGTCCATTGGCCCGTACTTATTCTCGCGACATTGAGTCATTTGCCCAAAGAACTCCTTCTTCTCCTGGTTCAACGCCACTTCCAGATCCCCACTTTCAAGCGGCTCGGCCTGGTTCCTCTTGGCCCGATCGAACCTTCGAAGGCGCTCATAGTTGGTAAGTGTGAAGCCTACCAGGTGATCGTCCAGGTCAAATCTTCCCGGGGAAGTCCAGTTGGGGAAGGTCTGGTAGTCATGGAAGATTGCCCCAAAGTTTGACAAGCCGACGCGGTTCAAAAGTCCAAGGTTGCAAATCAATCCCGAGACTGACCGGGCAGTGAAGGCTCCGCGGGAGAATCCGACAATGAAGATCTCGTCTCCGGGGTTGTAGTTATCGCAAACGAATCGGTAAACATCGGCGATGTCCTAAGTGACCGCGTCAACGTTGGTACGAGCCATTCGTCGGCCATGAACGTTGTGAACGTTGTAAATAGAAACTGACCTGAACGATGCCCTTTCCAAAGACTCCACCGAGGGTTTGTGCGACCTTTGATTCCTCGGTCCCAGCTCCTCGATGGTAGTAGACGACCTGCGGCATACCGGTACAACACTTGTGGGCAATGGCAGATGACAGCCGGGCCACATTGGTAGGAATGCCTCCCCTCTTGTTCCTGAGAGAAATCAAAATCAGTGCTTTGAAGCTAGGTAGGACACCTTGCGCAAGACTGACGAGTTGTTCCATGTTCCATCACAGCAGACGATGATTCGCTTGGTGTTGGTAGTTTTGGCTGTTTTGTGAGCGCAATCTGCGAACTTCTTCTTAGTTGGTAGCTGCGGGACAGGTAGCTGGATCTGCGTAATGAACGGCTGGCCTTCACTAGTAGCGGATGCCATGGTCAGTAGTAGCTGCTCTTTCAAGGCAGGTTTTGGGAATGATGAATGGGAGATTAAACATACAAGCCAATTTTTCTCGACGGGGAAGGATTTGGCTATAAAGAGTGCTACTTTCTCCAGTAGTCCCATTTGTATAACACTCCACCCTGCTACAAACCTTGGAAATTCCCCTGCCAGAGTCTAAACTAGGAAAAGTATTCTACTTTGGACACCAGTGATGATCTGCGACGGCTCCCTTGTTGTCTCAGAGATGGTGGTGAGTTTGCAACGAAGGGAATGGTTTGGTTCACCATCCGTTGTTCATCGTTCTCCCTTGATATCTGTAGTGCAGGGAGTATTCGTACATTGTTAGACCTATAATTGAAAACCACTTTCATGATCACTGTTCCAGGATTGTTAGTCTTTTGGCTTCGATCGTATAAACCTACGTACGAAGTATGAGATGTACTTTGCATACAGTCAATCCACCCCGCCTAAAGTGTCAATAAGAATGACCAAAATTGACAGGCATGGGGGAACTAGAGCGATCTGTCACATGCTAACGAGCTGATGTGCCTCCCTTCGTCGACTGAGACAATACGCGGGGGTCCAATATTTGCACATTTCCAGTGTTAGCATGGAGCGCGTCTTAGCCATGACAGGGCTTGCCGTACCCGTTCAGACATAACAACCAGCGTGCTTTCGGCAGCGGTAGATCCCGTTGATACACTGAGGATTCACGCTATTAATACACTGGAAAGGACCGTTCAGAAACTTGTGTCTGTTTTGGGAAGTCATCAATAACGTTGGTGAGAAACAGTCCCAGCCTAAGCCTAGGCTGTTTTACAGGTGACGTCGATTTGAGACATTCAGAAATGAATTTCGGCGAGCCAGAAACGTGCTAAGATTACACCGATCGAGATTCAGGAAAGCAGCAACTCTTGGGATTCGACGTCATGGGCCGCATTGAGCTGGAGAGATTTCCGGCACAAAGTCAGGCCCAGAGATTTTAAAGGCAGTCAAGCCGTGGATACACCCGCCATGCTACCACCGAGGCGGGACGTAGCGGAGCGGCCCGCGTTGCGAGGCCGATACGACCTCAAGTGGTCGAGAACCTCCGCAATTGCTGATGCTCTGCGCCTCTGTGACGAATGCCGGAAGAGACACCGCGGCCGTCTATTGATCGGGAATATCTTGGCCAATCTCTGCCGACAGAGATCCTACTATAACAAGTTACTTCCAATCATAAAGGGCCATGTGCGATACGGGTAAGGTTGCTAATTTAATATATTCCACAAAAAGACTAGACGGAAGGAAGACATATGCAAGCGGATTAAACAGTGAGTCTCAACGCTCTAACTAGGATCCTTATGAACATATTATCTAATTAGTTCATCATATAAGTTCTAAATCAATCTCTATCAAGCACGTATATCGATGCGTCGATGGGAATGGAAGCCTAATTCGACCGTTGAGTCCAGAGCACCCCGATAGATCAACCTCGGTCACCTATATCAATTGGGGAGTGAGATCGGGCTCCTGGCCTCAACCTCTTTCTCCTACCTACTCTACGCAGATATCAATACCACTACCAATTGACCCCCCGTCACTCCTTTCAAACAAAAGATTTACTTTGCCTGTGATACGATACCAACAGCATCGCTGTCTACAGGACTCGAACTGGTTTTCATCCTCTAAAAGGAGGACATGACCGCAGATGAGGTTCACATGGATAAATCCGTTCATTCCGTAAAGTATTGATAAGAAAAGACCACAGTACGCCGATAATTATGTTACGGTAATACGGCATTTCACAAGCATGTCACGACGAGAAGACGACTCGAACATCTCAGTTGTAAAAAATTAACAGTTCAAAGGTTTAGTTATTTTCAGAAGGGATTTTGAATAACCCATAAACAGTTTCCGTAACCTTTTCATAACGATAGCCCAACAAACTCCAACAAAGTCCCCTGATCCAGCGTCTAAGAGGTACCGGAGCAGCCAGCGAAGCCGTTGTTTAAAGCGCCAGTGTGGGTGATCTGGCCAACCTGATTACAACGAGCGTTGATGAGGACACGGTCGGCACCGGGAGGGCCTGTGTATAAGGGTCAGCAACTGTTTGCAAGAACGAGGTGCAAGAGCGTGGTGCAAGAGTATGGCCCGAGCGACGCTTGCACAACTTGAAGGCATCGCACATGACGAGGGGGTAAACTCACCTCCTGTGTAGACGCCGCGGGCCTTGATGGGGAACTCGTAGTACGGCCCCTTGAAGCTCATGATGAAGCGCTCGTAGTTTTTGTATTGGTGGGGGTATCTGGCGATGCCGACGACGGTGCCGGCACGGATGTGCGCGCAGGCGGCTTTGGAGGCGGCGTCGACCTGGGCGGTGGTGTAGATGTTGTGGCCGCAGGTGGTGGAGCGCTTCTGGATCTCCACGGGGGCGGCGGAAACGGCGAGGGCGAAGAGGGTGACGAGGATGACGGAGAATTGCATCTCGGCAGTGGTATTGGGTTCTTGTGAGTTGTCGCGATGGAAGGGAAGTGGGCTGGCAGACGAGGCAAGACGAGACGGGATGACTGGGCCTAGGGAGCTTCTCTCATGCTTGGTCTATCGTAGAAAGACCTCATCGTCTTTTTATGAGGAGCGACAGTAAACAGGCGGCAGATTGACTTATAAATTGTGAGGACTCCAACTCCAGTGTTATACTACGGCAAGCAACAGCCAAGCAAAAGCACAAAGTGCCAAGTCGTGATCCCAGGGTAGCGGTGTCAGCGCGTCCGCAACTTCGCCGTGCCCACTTGTCGATCCCCAGTCCTGAATGCGAAAAGAGATTTTAAAGATCGTATCGCGCATGGTGAGGAACGCCAACGTGGTTGGCTGTAAAACGAGAGGCTATAAAGCATGGGAAACCTGTCTGTTCCGCCTAGTTCACTCGAGGTTCCCACTCAAGCTCGTTTAGTGTAAACGTAGCTATTATACTAAGATACGGCCACTTGCTCGCATAGGAGCAAGTAAAAAAATCAAATGTGCCCAAAGCTCACAACACCGTTGAGTGATGTTGTCGTGCGCTAGTCAGGCGCATCTACCGGCCGGCATTGGCCCGTGACATCAACGACCCAAAAGAGCATCCCAGACCGGGTGGGGGAGTTTTTCCCGTGTCTCCCGTCCACACGCAATTCGAAGTCCTCGCATTTGACTCTTGAGTTGCGAGCTGCTCGGTCCCTGATTCTTTGCTCCCCAATTTCCCCTCCCTTGCGGCCAGCTCCGACCCACCACGTTCTTAGCCAGCTGTGAAAATAGGTTTAACCTTCAAGTGCCTTCGGGTGGGTGCTGAACCGTTCGGGCTGTCCCCATCATCCTGCCACGGGGTTTTGCCTGCACTCTGGTGGACTGGAATTTGACTGCGATAGAGACAAAGAAAAACGGCCTTTCAGCTTAAGCGCCTGCTGCGAAGCTTATAGGCTGCCTCGTTACCTACCTTTTGCATGGGGTTACAGCTCAGCCCTGGCGCCGTTCATCCCATAACCGGGAGATCAGCAGCGGTAATTACTTACTCAGTGGGTGGTGTGATTATCAATCTTCTTTCTCTCCGTGGCAGTCAAGATACGGACGGTACTTATTCTGTCACTTTCACGGCGCATGAAGCAGATGGCTCTCGAGTTTTGGAGGAGCATAGACGTCTACTTTGGGCATTTAAAGCACGAGCCAGTAGACAGTCTGGTCGAGACCCATATTGATTGCACAGCATCAATATCGTTCGAAACTCCCTAGGTAGTCTCCTCTTGAGCACTGGCTCCATTCTCATTTCTCGCGGCCGATTTCCGAAGCGAACCAGCTTAACTTCAATCAAGCTTCAGTGGGGGCGATGGGCCCCCTGGACGCAGGAATCGAGTCACCCGAAGCTTCACAATCTGATCCCGAGGCACATCTCTCTAGTTACTTTTTAATCGCCGTCGGAGAAGTCGGGAGCTATTTGCACCTTCTTTTTGAGTTCTTGGCTTCTTACGTTGTCAAGCCCACATGTGATGCTGTTTGTCCACGGGCTGTTGTGCCCAGTGCACATAGGCATTGGTGCTCAATCAGGCAAGGCATTTCAGCGCCGGACGTTTCGCTTAGATTGGGTTGTCCAAAAAATTGCGATATCACGAGTTTCGTTGTCGGTGTCCGGCCGATTTATACCATCTTCTACTTACGTCATCATTGAGGCATGGATTACGGATGAAGAGTAGACACGGAAGCGAAGGTATCAAGATTAAATAAACAACGAACAGAAGATAAGACAACTTCCCAAAAAGACGTGTGCCTTGGGGGGAAAAAAGGTGTCTACTAGAGCCGCAGGTGAAAAAAGAATTTGACAATTTGCTTTTTGGACCGTTCCGGCACGTCTGTTCAGGTACACTCACACGTGAGAGCCAGAAGATTCGGCCCGTCTTTGAGCGCCGTCAACGAGGCTGTCCCTTCCACATTAGCTAAGTAAATTAACTTAAAACATAAAAGAAATAGTTACCTGGTGTGCTTCTTTACAATTTTAAGCCATTTAAATGAACATTTAGCCTTTTGTCTTTTTTTTTTGGATACGTGGTAGACTGCGGAGAGCAGAGAGAGCGTGAGAGGACCGGCGGAATCTTCTGATCCCCGCGTGACTCACAAAGTGTCTCGGTGCTGCAAATACATTTCCAGTTCCAATTGAGTAGAAAAAACTTCTTGTCACTAGCGCTGCTAATGGAGCAAGCGACGACTTCTCGTTGCAGAAATCAGACTGATTGGAATGCCTTGCTCCAATCCTGTTCCGAAAGCCACTCGTTGAGGTTCACCGCTGTAACATTTGCCTTGAGACCCGTCGGCGCCGTCAGTGACTCTTTCCAGCCATTGACTTTCTCTCCAAACAAACCATACTCTGCGAGCCAAACCCAGCTCTCAGGAGCCTCACGACCCAGCAGCGATTCAGCCGCCATCTCATCAACGGTTCTTTGCAGAAAAACAAAGTCCCGGCTTGTTTTCTCGCGCAGCACCTCGATGCACTCTCTTAGAGACTTCATTTCGTCGTAAGCCGCCAAGATTGTGCCGGCAGGCTCGGTGAGTACCAGTGTCTTGACGAAGATCCCGGTGCTGGACGGCGCGTCGATGAACGGTATGGGAGTATCGTCGCTCACGGGGCCCTCGAATTCGATCTTTCCCGACTCCGAGTTAAAACGCGGACCGAAATAGGAGCCGGGCAAAATGTTGGAGTTGTAGAATCCGACCAAGATCTGCGAGGTCTTGTTCCATAGGGCGGGATATTCCTGTTGGATATTTCTGACAATGTTGGCCTTGCCATCGAAATGGTGAACGTGCTTGAGCCTTTCTCGACTGAGCTTGGAGACTGGCGGAAGACTGCTGAAGATGAAGCGTTCCAGCGTCGGTATAGCCGCTGCAGCTGCTGCGAGGTTTCTGCCCCATGCCTCCTCCAGGTCCTGGGCAGCGATGGCGAGGCCGACTCCCTCGCTTCGGACCCTATCGGCGACTTCTTGGGTTCGTATGGCGCTCCAAAAGTCTGTGACTGCAAAGATTGCTGTAGCGTCTGCGAAAGCTGACTTGAGCTCCGAGATGGAGTCGAGAGAGGCAGATACCATTTCCGCGCCAAGTTTCGATAACTTGGCGGCAGATTCGGACGACGGATTACGGGTGATTGCTCGTACGTGCCAATGACTAGCCAAAGCCGTGTCGCTGAGGAATGCTCGAGCCACGGAGCCACCTTGATTCCCCGTGGCACCCAGCACGACCAAGATCTTCTTCATGGAGGAACTCATGTTGGCTTGGGCGTATCTGTTCAAGCTATCTAGGAGAGATGGATGATATATGACTGGCACGGCGTGAAAAGACAGTTGGTAGCAGTGTAGAAAGGTTTGACGGGCTTCCTTTATAGAACCACAAATCATGTCTATAGCCCTTCATCGGAATCCCCCATTGTGTATAACGTTGCTGATGACAAAGTAGCAAATGAAAAGAATTTGTCAGCTGTGTTCATCATAATCTTTTTTCGCAGTGTGCTTCGCCGACCTCAATCCTTCAGATGGGGGTGAGGATGAATAGAAACCCCGATTATGGGCTAATTATCACCAAATTTGGATTCTCAAAGAGGAAATGCCAGCCGACTCCGCTCGGCGACAGCCCCGGCAACGGTCTCCACTAAAACTGCCGGCTCCGGAGATTCGAACGGAAGAATAGCAATTACGTCATCTCGCGTCTTCCGCTCCTTCCTGGGCCACTGTCCCAGTTACGTACCGCATTACATGCACAGTGAGGAGAGTCATTAATCCGCCCCGGGGCCGAGTGCGACATGGAGGCACTTACCTAAGTTACTTTACTTACCTAAGGTCGGATGGTCTGTGCAGCAGCTCGGAGGACGAAAGAAGGGACGCACCTCAGCAGTTGCGATGCCAATTGGCCGCTCATTTAGCGCACGCAGCAGCTGTAGCTTGGGACGCGAATTCCAGGGCGTCCGGGCTCCGCAAAACGCGTTTTCTTGGGATTCAATCAACCCCAATTTGTGCCCACCTGTTTGGCCGTCGCCTTTTTGTGTCGCTACCTTTGATTTAATTTGGCTTTGATCACCAACCACATCGCGGCGCATCAATCGCACCGGCTGACCCCATCGACGAGACTTTCGCCAACGCCCCATCGACTTCGCATTCACATCCGCCTCCTCCCCACCCCCGCCCGTCGACCCGGTCTTAATGACCCCCGGGGGCCGTTCGCGATGCGCGTCATTAAGCCTACGTGGCTGAGCCATAGCGGCGAGCAGAAGGACTTTGAGGTGTACAGCTGTCACGTATCCTCCGACGGGAAACGACTCGCGACCGCTGGTGGCGATGGCCATGTCAGAGTGTGGTCGACAGAGGCTATCTATGGCGATGCGAATGGCGACGCAGAAGGCAAGCCCAGACAGCTCTGCCACATGAGCCATCACCTCGGCACAATCCATTCTGTCCGCTTTTCGCCAAACGGTCGATATCTCGCATCAGGCGCCGACGACAAGCTTATCTGCGTCTATCACCTCGACAAGAGCCCTCCAGTTGCCTCCTTTGGTAATGAGCCCCTACCTACCCCTGGCCGAGACCAATGCGCCCTCAACGTGATGGATGCTAACCCAAGAAAACAGGACTCGGCGCCGAACCTCCACCAGTCGAGAACTGGAAGACATACAAGCGACTAGTCGGACACGAGAACGACGTCCAGGACCTTGCCTGGTCCTACGATTCTTCAATACTCGTGTCGGTCGGCCTCGACTCCAAGATTGTCGTCTGGTCGGGCCACAGCTTTGAGAAGCTCAAGACCATAACCGTCCACTCCAGTCACGTAAAAGGCATCACCTTTGACCCTGCAAACAAGTTCTTCGCGACCGCCAGCGACGACCGAACAATCAAGATCTTCCGTTTCACGCCCCCTGCCCCGAATGCGACACAACATGACATGGTGAACAACTTCGTCCTCGAGCAAACAATTAGCGGACCCTTTAAGAGTTCGCCATTGACTACATACTTCCGACGGTGTTCCTGGTCCCCTGACGGTAACCACATCGCCGCTCCAAACGCCGTCAATGGCCCGGTCAGTTCAGTCGCCATCATCGAGCGGACACGATGGGACAGTGAGATTAACCTGATCGGCCACGAGGGGCCGACCGAGGTCTGCATGTTTTCTCCACGTCTGTTTCACACGGAGAACCCGGTGGAGCAACCCGACAATAATGCGCTCGTTACTGTCATCGCGTCTGCAGGCCAAGACAAGACGCTCAGTATTTGGAACACAAACACATCAAGACCCGTAGTCATTCTGCAAGACGTCGCCAGCAAATCCATTTCCGACCTGGCTTGGTCACCCGACGGGACCACCATCTTCGCCGCCAGTTTGGACGGCACACTCCTAGGAATTTCGTTTGATCACGGAGAGCTGGGCTGGGTTGCGGATGCTGGCGAGAATGACAAGGCTCTTCAAAAGTACGGCGCGTCAAGAAAAGGCATGGGAATCGCAGAGGATATAGAAGGTCTGAACCTGGAGAACCAAAGTAAAGCTGGCGAATCTCGTGCTGCAGAGTCCAGGATGGGCGCTCTGATGGGGGACCCGGGATCTTCCAAGGGAGCAACCGCTGCAACCAATGGTACCAAAACGGTCGGCAACGGGACAGGTGCCTCGACTCCAAAGCCCACCAACGGGAATGTCGAGTCCGAGAAAGAGAGGGAGAAGCCGGCCGAAGAGAATGGCGACAAGTCAGTGGAGAGAGTCAAGGAGCTCAAGTCACGGGTGACGGTCGGCAAGGACGGTAGGAAACGTGTTGCGCCACTCCTGGTGTCCTCGTCTGGCACCGGCCAGTCATCTCTTCCGCAAACTCAACTGGTGGGCTCCACGTCGACCTCGAAAGCTGCCCAGAACGACACTCCGCAGACCATTCTGGATCTCGAAAGGCCCTTTGAAGGACTTCCCAAAGGTGGCGTAGCTGCCATGTTGCTCGGTAATAAGCGCAAGGCCCCAGTTCTCGAGGGCGAGGAAGAAGAGGATCATGGATCAAAACGGCAGACAACAGGACCAACACCTGTGGTGCTGAACGGCGTCGACGGCGTCGAGGCCGCGTCAGTCGTGCCGGCTGCCTATGGCGTTTTACCCACACCCGAGTATCTTCGGCCCGCGGTATTGAACCCATCAATCGCCTTTGCGCAGATCCGGTTGGCGGTGCCAAAGGTTAGGTCTCAGATTGTGAGGCCTCTTGAAAAAGGAGTCTTACTTCCTGAAAGCAGCACAGACGATGCTTCCAAGGTGCCCGAAAACATTATCCTCGAAGCCCGAAACCCCGTTCAGATCAGGGATCCCTCCTTCATTTCTGCTACCAAGCGTGGTGCGCTGCTTTGGCAGGACTACTTACCCAGAGCAGTCATCCTCGTCACAGGCAACAAGAACTTTTGGGCAGTGGCGTGCGAAGATGGCAGCATCTACACCTGGACGCCTGCTGGACGGCGGTTAATGAATCCAATAATCATGGAATCCCAGCCAGTCATGCTGGAGTGCCGGAACAACTATCTACTGTGCATCAATGCTGTCGGCTTGTGCCACGTCTGGGATCTCCAAAGACAAGCAGCTTTACATCCACCAGTATCCCTGGGTCCCGTCCTCGAGCTCGCGACAACAACGCTCAACCTCAACACGACAACACCAGGTCCCGGCATCACATCAGCCCAGCTCAACTCGACTGGACACATTGTGGTGACGCTCACCAACGGAGATGGCTACTGCTACACCCGAGATATGTTTACGTGGCAGAGAGTCAGCGAAGCCTGGTGGGCTGTTGGCTCCCAGTACTGGAACAGCAACGATTCATCAATCGGCGCGCTGCAGTCAACTGCCGTTGGTCCTGTCACTCCCGCGAAACCCAAGGACGATAGTACGGCCAACGTCTCCGCCGGCATCATTCCCTACCTCGAGAGGCATACCACGAATGAATTCCTGCTCAAGGGCCGTGCCTACACCTTGCAGCGTATCGTCAAGGTGTTGGTGACAAAGGACGGCTATGAGGGCTTCGAGTCAACGGTGAGTATTGCTCACCTCGAGAACCGAATCGCTGCCGCTCTGCATTTGGACGCCAGGGACGAGTTTCGCCTGTACTTGTTCATGTATGCGAAGCGTCTTGGTGCCGAGGGCCATCGGGGCAAGGTCGAAGAGCTGCTCAACAGCTTGCTTGGTGGTATCCTGAGGGACAAGGATGACAAGCTGAGTGACGGTGGCCGGGGATGGTTCAGCCAGGAGGACGAGATATGTGGCTGGGACCGCAAGGAGCTCCTGAAGGGCGTCGTCATGATTCTCGGTAAGTTGTTCAAAAAGGCTCGTGATGAGGCAGCTCCGCTAACAGTCTCCCAGGTAAATTCAGAGAACTCCAGAGACTGACCATCCAATACGCGCGTGTCCTCGACCTGAACCTCGAGAGCGACGGGGCGATGGAAATCGAGTCATGAACGATGTCTATGGCGGCGGGAAAGTCTGCTGTAATAACGAATAAGCAGCTTTTGTATAGTATACCTACCGAGTAATCCTACGGGGTAGTTGGCATGATGAAAGCAAAAGGGCTGGCTGGCATGGCGTGTTCGTCGGAGATTTCAGGAGTCGGCGTACAAACAGGGTGTTTATGGATGAGGGTTGGCACGGCGAGGGAGGCGTCGTCTTTCGCGCTGTCCTTGCTTCGGAACGGGACGCACGTGGTGAAGATACAGTTTTAGGTAGAGCTCAAGCTCGTGAATCGCAGGCTACACGTTATTGTGTATTGGCAAAACTTTGTATTCTTTTGACCAAACATCCATCCATCCTGGCAAGGCTATCCACTCCCTCTGTCTAGGGTTGGTTCTCCAATCAAGACAACACCATCAGAGCTCGTTGGTACAATAATTTACAGCAACTCTCTCAACCGTTCATGCACCTGAACACAAGCACACTAGAATGTCACCTCCTCCGTCGCATCCCGTACCCTCCTCATCGCCCCCCGCAGCCCATCCGCGTCCTCAGCCCCGACTGCGACGTCAGCCAGACTGGCGCTTGTGTCCGGGTCCTCATACCAACTGATCAAGCACATCCTCCCAGCCTCAAACTCCTCTCGGAAGGACTCGATGAAGGCGTCGCGGCCCTGCTTGTAGCTGATGGAGAAGAAGGAGCCGATCCAGAGGCCGCGGCTGGTGAAGTGGGTTTTCAAGAGAGGGAGGCACATGGAGCCTGATGTCCTGATATTGAGGTCGACGATGTGGAGGTTCGTGAAGTCGGAAGCATCGTTGGTGCCACCATTGTGAAAACCGTTGGTGGCTCCGTTGGTACTGCCGTTCGTAGTGCGGTTCATCTTGGAAGACGCCGGCGTCGCCGGCGCCGTCTCCAAGACGTCGGCTCCAGCAGGTCCGACGTACCCATGCATGCGCAGCCAGGTCGCAATCTTCTTCACCAACGGCCCAAACCTCTTCTCTAGTTGCTCTTGACGGCGATAGTCGATCGTGCTCCCAATCCAGGCACTGTGACCATCCGTCATCTGCTCCGACGCAGCCAAGAATATCGGATCACTTCCGTCGTCCGTGACGAAGAACGTCAAGCCGTAGTTCCCAACGGGACACTCGACCAGGTCGGAGAGAATCAAGGCTGCGGGCCGGAGATGCGCGTTCGACTCGGTCACTGAAGAGAGCAGCTTGCGCAGGATACCGTCCCTGAAGTCCGTGACCAACTTTTCGCGCTCGACCTCAGTGTTGATGATGTAGGTCCCGGCGCCGCCTAGCGTCTGCTGGTTCTTGAGGACGAAGGGGAGGAGGTGCGACGCAATGTCCGCGTAGATCCGCTCGTTCTGCTCCTCGTACCACCTGCCGCGGCGCCCCGTGCAAGACACCGGGATGACGAACTCGGCGGCGTCGACGCCGTCGCACCCGTCGCAGCACGCCCACGCGTCGCCCGCCAGCCCGTCGAGCTCGATAATCTCGGATCTGGGGGTCGGGAGGCCCGATCGCGCGAGCGCGGCCTTGGAGTTGAGGAACCACTGCAATTCGGGCGGGACGACGAGGTTTTTGTAGGTTTCTAGGCCGTCGGGGACGAACTTGCAGGCTATGCGGTCGATGCCGGCTTGCTTGACGGGGATCTCGGAGGGGCCGGGGCAGAAGATGAGGTCTGGACGCTGAGGTGTTGCGAGGACGGAGAGGGTCTTTTGCGCCTCGCTTCTATCGTGCGATTTTTGCCTGGTCGAGTTGCTGAGGTGGAAGAGGATGACGGGTGTGTCGCCGCTGATGAAGGCGTCTCGTTGGGGGATCAGGGAGAGGTACTTTGCTGCGAGGTTTTGCTGATGCTGGCTCCGATCGTCGTGGTGGTTGTCGTTGTGGCCTGGCGGTCTGCTGCAGGATGGATCTTTGGGGACGGCGTTGAAGGGGCTGTCTTGGTAGAGATACTTTGCGTTGCGCGGGATGTTGGTGGTGAGTTCCGAGCCGGAGTGGACGAGGCAGAAGACCTGGGCGATGCGCATGTCTGCCAGCTTGGGGCTTGCGCGGCGGTAGAGGTCGGCGAGCGTTGTGTCGAAGGTGATTGTTGGTAGGACTGTCATTGTGGTCTGTTTCTACTTTTGGCATGAGAGAGAGCCTGATGTTGACGGATGGGATGAAGTGAGATGTTGGAAAGAGTTGAGGTTTCGGATCTGAGAGTGCGAAATGGGGTCTTGATGAGCTCTGGGAGATGGGGTTGAGCTATCGGGACCTTACGACTTGTTCTGAGCAAGGAATCACAGATGGACGCGTACATGGGTCTGCAGTGTAAGTCAAGAGTATGAGAAGAGATTGCCTGCCGCCGCCGTAATACGTTTGACAGGATTGAGACATCGCTGGGGAAACTGGTTGTTCACGCAGACCCTCCCGCTTTGTGGAGAGGTCGATCCGTCAGGGAACGGCACGCCATCTCTACCCTTTCAGCTTTCAGGGGCGAAGGAGAGACGTCGAATCTCGAATTGAGGGATGTATCAATGTCTCTTGATGTCGTTGTTCTCGTCCACGTTCGCAGGGGCCCGGTTGGGGATTCACTTGTGCTTCTGTAAGGCGCAGAAGCAATTATCGTGACGGGTCTCATGTAAGACCTTTGACGTAGCTATCCGAGGTTTTTCGGGTGGAACTGTAAGCCATCATGCAGGTCAAACCTGCTGGAGGCCGGGTCGGAGTGCGGCTGACGAGACTTTTGGGCCGTTGTGAGATGCTATTGCGATGTTGCGATTCTCGGCGAACTTCACGCCACACTAGTTCATGCTGATGCTACGACAAACTAAATCAGTTTCACAGCACCTTACTTATAGCATGCCATATAGGAGTTCTTCATCCACGAGTATAGTACATGTGGAAAAAGGTCCTCTAATAAAACAAGACTCTAGCATGGTTCGCGGAAATAAAGCAAAGCCTTCAAGAGGTGGCTAGAACCAGACACAGTCGGACTAGAAATACCGGACTTCTAGATAACACAGATAAACTCTTGCTCCATGGCGGTATAGTTCGGATAGGTAATAGTTGAACACATCGAGCTTCAACCTTTGCAGTGTCTTTGTACTGGTAGCTAGTATGCTCCGTAACCTTGATTATCATCCTACATTGCTGTTTAGGGAAACCTTGTCGTTGATATCAAGGCTACTGAAACATTAAAAAGCTCTCATTTCCCTCCGTTGCTTGCGGGACGACAATTGATCATTATCAGCTTTCAAACTCACTAAGCCATTCACGCTACGTGTCACCCTGCATCACGAATCTGCAATGATCACTCTTACATTCCGCAGTTTTAAGTTTCTGCAGTCAAACTACAAGCAACAAAACAACGTTCGGGACCGTGCTGTGCGGCCCTATCGCTATCGAGGCGTGCGTTACTCCTCGGTCATGGGCGACGAATGTTAGGCTGCGATGGAGTTTGCGCCCCTTGATCTCCGCCAGAAAGTCAGAGAGAGACACACTCAAACTTTGGGGGCGCCGCTTTCAACACATGACTCGTGCACGTCTTCTTAGACCGCCGGAAACGAGTTCAACTGTATCATTGACGGAGGTCTCTGGACTGCTTGCAGGGAGTCCCGATCTGCCATGTACCGTCGATACAAGCGTACAGATTAGGCGTGTCTGGACGCGAAGACTATGTTCAACGAGATATCGGCAACGTTCAAAGTCCACGTGGACAACGGCATCTACTGTTTTTCTGCCTTTGCGGAGGTCGACTTCTTCATTTCATAGCCTTTTTTTTGCACCCAAGGTTTCAAGTCTTTGACCCAAGACACGCCTTTCGTCTCGAAAATGCTCGGTTCTATAGGCGTTCTACACATAGAGATCAATTTCGATCCGCCATGGACAGTGGAGGAGCAATACTAGTACAACAAGGGACAAATCTTAGGGTGTTGCTCAGACCATACCGAGACATTTCTGTCGAAAAGATTCAAAGCCAATGGCCCGGCTCTTGACTTAACGTTTCAACTAACACAAGTCCTTGGTGCAGGCCTCGGTGCATGTTTACATACGGAAATCTCGGGCTCATCGACAACCACTCAAGCTGAGAAGAAACAGTCGTTGGAGAAGACGTAATGGATGATTGGCATCAGTTTGTAGATGTGTATGGGCATTGCGAGCGTGAAAAGTACCCTTTCAAGGGATCCGGCTGCAAGTTTAATGCGATATTAAAAAAGTACAATATCGAGTTTTGTGGAGATGAAGGGGAGGGAAGCGAAATTGCAACGGGCATGCACCGCTTGTGAAGGTGCTATATGTTATGGCATTATTGGTGGAGGCACAGGACCGTGACATCGACGAGCTCACTCCCGAACAGATTGGTATTCTAGTGAGAGAACGAGACGGAGTTGAAGTGTTGCGTTGCAAATCTGCTTCCTCAAATTGCAAGGTACCGTCTGGAAGAAGACCAGGAGCTCGATGCAACATGAGAAGAGTAAAGGAAAGGTAGTGGCAAGTTCAAAACGACAAGAAAAGAGAAGACACAGAAGGTCAGCTGAGAATGAAAACATCTAATCTGATACAAAGCATATGTCAAGTGCACCACTACTGAGGACATGGTGTGATTATGAAAGTCCTAAGGGTGTGTGTGTGGGTGGGGTTGCGCCGGGGCGGGGGGGTGGCAATTAGACGGGACATTATCACAAATCGGTATATAGGAATCGGCATCTCAACTTTGGTCTAATTCTGTCCGAGTGACGGTATCCAGAAGGGGTTGTCTGACGTGCCATTATAGACACTTTTGTCTGCTAACTCGCCTGGCATCCATGCCCTGTCTCATTGCGGTATCAACCCCTTTCGTGACAGAGATTAAGTCGATTCAGTCTCCGTGGAACAAAGAGAGAAGTTCAAGACCAAGCGGAAACTCGAAAACAACGGTGACAACTTACGATGTGAGGTTCATAACTTCGTGTAGCTGCTGGACCAGCTGAAGAATCCGAAGTTCTCTTATCCGATGAGAAGAGCGGTTAAGCACACATATGTAGGAATGATATGGTTCATGACACCTGATTGACACTGGCCCTTCACGGTGGTACTGTGCATCCAAAAGTCGACTCTATTGTCTTTATTGAAACAGACTCCTGCGCGACTCAAGGAGCATTGCAACGCGGCTAGCAGGCTGGAAAAGATAAAGACCGTGCTATGGAATGCACAAGGCGCTTTAATTTGAAGATTGACGCTATATTGCAGTACGCAACAAATCTGAGTTTTCAGCCGCCACCTCGAAACCCAGTGATTCTCAAGAGATGCAGCTGCTAGCTCTTCCCCTTTTTTTTTTCATGGTCAAATAGCAGAAATGGCGCTGCATTTCGACTGGCAAAGCAAAAGGTTGATGGGGTTGATTAGTTGTTGGCGGGGACGCACCAGCGCGCAGGCCCGATTAAATAAACTAAACATAGGGGTTGTATTTCTTTATCCAACTTCTTTTCCATCCGTAAATGACGTTTAATTATATAAGTTGATTATAATGTGTGCATTTAAGCCTTTGAATGCCAAAGCCTGTACATATGACTTAGTTATGTGTTTGATCAACATTGCATTGATTCGGATAGACTGGCGCGCTGGTCCAAACCGTTCTTTCTATTTTAAACCGTGAAAGGGTTAGCGGTCATTTCCGAATTTCTCCACCTCCCGCGCTGAACAGATCATAAACCCTAAATCTGGCAGCGGCCTTAATCTATTACGCTTTCTTTAACCTTGCGTCAACTAGCTTAATTATTTTGTGAATCGGCGGACTGTCGGTTGGCCCGAGTCCGATCGGGTCCCGTGGTCAATTCGGACAATGCGGCCTCGCCTCGCTCTCTTTCAACTATCAGCCACTCCTGCAGCACAGCTGTGGTTGCTTGTGTACTGAATCTTGCGCCCCGTGATACACGGATTACCCCATGACTCTTATGACTACGGGAAGGCCGATGCGTTATCAATTATGCTTTTGGATGTTATTCTTGAAGTCAAGAGATTGACGTGTTTTGAGATAATGTTAAATTGAAATTCTTATATCCAGTCCATCTGCTTGGAGGCGAGTCGTCTATGAGTATTTTATCAAGTCGACACCTTTGTCTTGGCATTCATAGCCAGATTAACAACTCATCGCCATTTCACTCACCAACCCAACGCCCCCTCCCTTTATATTCCCAGTGCAACCAATTCATAAACTCCCCAGACGAAAATGAAGTTCCAACATCTCCTTGTCTTCGCGGCCGGCGTCATCGCCGCACCTGCCCCAGAGGAAGTTGCCAAGCCCGTTCCTGTCGATATTGGCGCTACAGTCCCGTCCCATCTTCTCATCTGCGCTGGAGCCTTTATCGAGGTCTCGGAAATCGACTGGGCAATGAGGAACCGGAGGGACGAACTACAGCTCAATGCCGGATGGTGGGACGAGGTCCCCGTCGCCTGCCAGCCAATCAATGGTACACATACTGCCCAACCGGTGTTTGGTATTCGGTTCATGTACAACCACACTCGAGACGAAAAGGTGAAGACAGAAGTGGAGGCAGTTTTTGTGCAATGCAAGCCGCCGAACCACTGGAATCTGACGTGCGACGACGTTTGATTCATATCGATTGAATGAGGCTGAGGCAGTTGGTGGGAAGGATTTGAAAAAGTGTTTACATATAGCGATGTTTGGCAACAATGAAGAAACATCTTCCAAACAAAAGCTATCATCTATGAGGAAGTCACTACCATCATAAAGATGCCCGTGGTAAACCTTTGCCAGTCTGGATGTACCCACTATGTCCCTTCTTCTGCACATCAACAGCGCCGAATTATAACTACGACAAAACAGGCGTCTTTCAATAGGTGGACCTTACAGGTATTTTCCCGAACGTGGCCAGTCCGCACTGCGACTCGGAAAGCCCACTTGATTGTCAGAGTAAATGTTCCTTGAGCTCAGGTCACATGGCCGGTGATGAAAGATACTTTGATGAATGACACACTCCTTGCTAAGTAGAATTGCTGCTTCATTAGGGCTGCGGCTTGGCTTCTCGATAGACATTAGCATCACTGCTGGTATCCTGTCTCTACTGCACTCATGGTCAAAAAGTGTATTTCGGACAGAAGCTACAGACATAAGTGGAGATCTAGTTTGTAAAAGTTTGATTTTCTTATTGGTGGCGGTTTTCAATGTGGAGATATCTCCAGGCTCTTGTCGTTCGAGAAGAGATAATATACACCAGAGTTGGTCTGGCCACCGCCCATCCTTGCCAATACCCACATTGTCGGGTCTCCTCCTACGAGCATGGCTGGATACACTTTCAAAACAATCCTGAGCAGTAGCTCTTCAGCATAGGCAGTTTCCAATCAGAAAGCTTGCCGATAATGAAACCTTTGTCATGTACTCAGCTGGCTGCCACGGATATCAAGGAGGCGTCGCCTTCTCAAATTGCGAATTTTATCTGTCGTATACCATTTTGTCATTCACAGGTGACCAAAAGAGCTTTTTCAGACGCAGAAGCCCAGCAGTCCCAAGACCACTCGCGTTTGTGGAAGTGTTGTGTCTCGGAAACCGAGTTTCCATTCTCCTCTACCCAACTCCTGCCAAGAACGTAGCTGATCGCCAGCTATGATTCTTGGCGATTGGAATGCGGCAGATATTATGAGACTGAAAGATGATGTGGACCATGAATGCTGATCTGATCTCCTAGCAGAATAGGGAGGCCCGGAGAATGCTGTCTCCCGAGGTAAGTCAATATGTTTCACTAGAGCTCTTGGGACTTGAAGCTGAACGCAGCTGGGGTCTCAGATGGATCTGCTGAAAATCGGCTATCGGTACCAAAGACTCAACATCTAACAGACTGCACATTACGTTAGTCCCAATCGAATGATGATTGGACGAGAAGCGGGTGTGTCTCTGCCCCAAGATAGTTAAGTCCGCTGCGGGGAAACACCAGCCAACCCGACAATGATGATCAAAGTGACCCGCAGACGTGGGGGAAGATATAACCGCTTTCGGTGATATAGTGAGTTTGCCATCCTAAGTGAGTACACGTAGTTTGCTGATACCGGCAGAGACAAGGACCATTCCATTTTTGGGGAGCTATACCCTGCGCACGGGTTAGGGCCTCGAAGGCATGTCCTTCGGCATTTGAGATGTTCATGTAAGAGCCAATCAAACATTTGCGCACACTTCGGCCGATGGGGGAGGCCGAGCTGTGGCTGGCTCAGCTACGACAACTGGGGACGCAAACATGAGGACTATGGTGCTTACCAGCATCACCTAGCCCTTCTCGACAAGCAGGTCTCGAGCTATCCTGTAGATCACAAAGCTGTAAATATTGCTGTATCAATGTCGCAAGCCATCGTATTTCCCTTTGGGCGTCATTGAGTTGGAGAAGCTGAGGGACGGAGATTGGGACGCTGCTAGTAGCATTCGCGCTGCTGTTTTTGGCAATCAGCCGCCCTTTAGCTGTGTCTCAGCCTTTCAGGCACGAAAAATTGTGCTGATCATATACCTGCGAATGGTATCGATGACCCTTCTCTGGATGTGGAAGAAGCGGAGTCAATGGCGTCGCTACTCGCGGGCTTGTCCACACAAGCCATAAGAGTCCTGCGTCGTATCTGCGATCTCGGCTGCCCTGTTCCGGCTCATACAAACTCGTCGATTTTCCCCCCTTACCCCCATGGCCGAGGGCTTCTACCAGTCTTTGGATTCTACTCTTGCTTCACACTTTGGACAATACAGCACAATGGCGGCGACTCACGGCCACAACCACAACCACTCCCAGACTCACCTGGGGGTTGATATTGGCATCCACAGTCCAGTCACTCCCGGTGAATCGGATCTGCTAGCGAGCGAGATGTCGGGCCTCAGCATCAACGAGAGAAGCCGACCTCGTCTTCTTCCGGGCTATCAGACCGACAGACCTCTGACATCCCCGCGTACAAGTAGTCCTACCGGTTCTGCCCGGAGCGCGTATACTACCAAGCGTCGCGTCAGCCGTCGTTCGTACAGCAATGAGTTCCATTCCAGCTCCGGCTTCAGCTTCAGTTCAGAGGTGTCCAAAGAGCTCACTCTCCAGGCAGAGAGCGAGTTCTCGGCTCTGATGGAACTCATGGCTAGCATGTCGAGGCGAAGCACGTCTCTGCGAGAAGTCTGGAGCAAGATCATCACCGAGCGAGAGTCCGTCTACTCTGAGATGCACCGCATGACGGAGCGCTACGAGGAGTTGACCGAGGTCATGGAACGTAAGGAGAGGGAGCATAGCCACCACAATCACGAGCAGGAGGGCCGCAAGCAGGAGCTCGTCAAGGTACGCCTGGAGCTCACTGCTGCCATCAACAACGCTTCCAAGTTCAAGATGGAACTGGCTGCGCGAGAAAACGAGTGCAAGACCCTCCGGCACGAGATTGCCGAGTCCAAGGACACCTATACCTACATCAAAAAGGAGCACGAGGAGCTGAAGAAGTCTTCGGAGCAGACGAGACTCATATTGGTTGCCACGCAAGCTGCCCGTGCCGATCTTGAAGACCAGTGCGGCAAGCTGCGTGGCGAGCGTGAAGCACTCGACGTTAGGCTCACCGAGCTGACGTCCAAACATGAAGAGATCACCACCAAGTTTGAGTCGAACAGCAAGGAGCTCGTGGATATTAGGAAGAGCCACTTGATACTCAAGGAAGAGAAGCATGAGTGGCTCCACAGGCGGGGCGAACTCGAGGACCACATCCGCAAGTGCGACCACAAGAACGATGAGTTGAAGCGCAAGTACAAGGAGATTGAGGAGCTGTATGAGAAGAAGAAGTACGAGCTCAAGGAGCAACAGGAGATTGTCATCAAGGTCAAAAACGAAAAGGAAGAGGCCATCACCAAGATCAAGAGTGAGAAGGAGGAAGCCATCACTAGGATCAAGAACGAGAAGGAGGAGATCATCATCAAGATCAGGAATGAAAAGGAGGAGCTCGAGCAGCACATCATTAGACTCAAGCGCGAGCTTGAAGAGGAGCATTGCCGATGGGAAGAGGCCGAGGATCTCTGTGGCAAGTGGAAGCTCAAGTGGGAGCACTATGACCGCGAAATCATTTCCCTCCGCGAGGAGATTTCTCGCATCGAGGTCACGCGAACCGAGCTGCGGGAGACCATTACAAAGAAGACGGAAGAGTACCGTGCCCTCGTCATCGAGAAGAAGCGCATCCAGGAAGAAGGCGAGCGTGCCGTCGGCCGCGCCAACGAGAACCACCGCCAGCTCCTGGTCGTGCAGGAGACGCTCAGCCACACCGAGTCCCTGCTCAAGAAGTCGCAGGAAGAGATCCACAGCAAGACGGAGCGCATCGAGCGCTTCGAGTGCGACCTCGGCGACGCGCGGAAGCAGCTCGAGACGCTCCAGATCGAGATTGAAAGCCACCAGTCCGTCGCGGCGGTCCTCAAGCTCGAGGTCGAGACGCTCAACGGCAAGTGCGGCGCCCTCAAGGCCAAGTGCCACGAGTGGGAGGTCAAGTACGACGACGCGTACGAGAGCATCACCGAGATTGAGGAGGGGAGCTCGAGCTTCGAGTACGAGATCTCGGCGATGCGCACCATGCTCCGCGAGGCGCGGGAGCAAAAGGAGACGGCCATCACGGCGCGCAACACGGCGGATCGGGAGCGTGACGAGGCCATTGCGAGGTTTGAGGAGAAGTGTAGGGCGATGGAGAGGTTGGAGGAGAGGATGAGTGCGCAGATGCACGAGATGAGTTCGCGATCTGGCACCAAGACTGTCACGAGTACTACTCGTAAGTCGTCGGGTCACCGGGCGAATGGCAGTGGTAGCTTCTGCGTTGACGAGTGATTGATGGCATGATGATGGGATGTACAAGTCCGACTTGACAACCACTGTTTTCTCTTTGTAATCTTGACAGCAAGGATCGTTTCTCACTTGTAGAGTGGTCAATCAGCTTAGCTAGTGCTCCTAATATCACATCACACTGCGCCTCAAATACCTCGCTCGGCTGATTGTGGTTCGTGTTGTATAAACACTGGACGTGTCATTATCTCGTTCTCATTCTATTTTTGGTATTATGCCCGCAAGCTCACTCCAATTCATGGGTACATATAGTACTATGTTAGTCTCGCTTGCCCTTCCCTCTCAAATCCTCCTCATCACTGCTCGTCAACGTCGTCTCGCTCGGGTTGATCCTGAAGCTGAAGTCCACCACGCCAACCAAGCTGCTCACAGAGCGCACCAAGCCCTCCAAGTCATCGCACACGAGCGAGCTGCAGACCTGCAGTACCGCGAACTCGGTATACCCGTGCTGCTCCACGTTCCGCACGTCCAGAATGCTTCCGCTGCCGAGGGGACTGACCATCTCCGACAACTCGGCCATGCCCGTGATTGTCGACGTGTCGCTCGCCGGCGACTCCGCCAGGCTGGGCTTCCGAGCTGAGGGGCGTACTTCGGATCCCGTACGGGTGTGTACCGTGACGAGTCTGTGCTCGAGCTCGCTGCCCCTTCGCTGCATCGTGTGCGGCTCCGGTTCGGGGCCCTTGAGGTGCAGGAGTCTGCGGGTCAGCTCATTCGGTTTCGGAAGTTGCATAAAGGGCGGCAAGGACTGGCCCGACAGCAGCGAATTGGACAAGAGCGTGAGCGTGGAGAGAATGGTGTGCTGCGCCGGTTCGATCCCGGCGAGCACTTGGTTGAGAGCGCGCAGCCAGGCTCGGTCGCTGTCAGACGTGGGCGTTGCTGGCTTGTCGCGAGGCTTCCACGTGATTGTGTAGGCAATCAGCGTCAGGTACCGCATGGTGCTGGTCGACCGACTGATGATGTCTTCGTAGGTGGCCCTGGGAAACTTGCCGCCGATATCAGGTTCCCATTTCTGCCATTGGGCGTGCATGTCCAAGCTGGGGAGCAGCAACAACAGCTTGCCCAGGATCCGACGTCTCTCCTTTTCCATCTTGTGAGCGGGCGTGCCGGGCTTCTTGATGTCTCCGTGAGTCTCTTCCATGGTCGCCTTGATTGTCTCCGTCACGACACTAAAGTAGTTTGCGATGAGATAGAGTGAGGCACTAAGATCTCGTCGGAGCCAGCGCCGATCGGTGATGGGGGCCGGGAAAATGGTCCAGATGAAGGCGACGAAGCAACCGGCCGCTACACAGGCAAGGCGATAGGGTGCCAAGAGGTAGGTAGGATAGTACCGTTGTCCCGTGGAGGCGGATGCTGCCTCTCCAATCTTTTGGACCTGCAGCTCGTAGCCGATAATGAGGACTTGGGTGATGATGGTGATGAGCCACACAGGCATGAAACGGGGGTACTTCAAGATGAAATACTGCTCGACGAAGATGAACAGCCACAGGAAGACGATGACTCCGGCGGTGTGCTCGACGACAATGTACCAGATAATGTAGGAGAAAATGACAGCAGCACAGGTTCCGCCGATTCTGCATATGAAGCCAAAGATGGACTGGCCAGCCGTGATGGTCATGCCGATGGCGATCATGATCATTGCCCACACAAGCCGCTGTTCAGTGAAGAAGGTCTGGGTACTCTGCAGGAAAGCCATGATGCCAACCGTCATGGTGGCAATGGCGACACGGAAGCCGAAAAGCGATTCGCCGGATCCGACGAAGCCAGAGATTGCCCTCGCCCCGTTACCAAAATGTTGCCAGGCGCCGTGAGCGGGAAGATGCTCGGGGTCCTTCTTCTTGTTGTAGCCATCACCGGCGTACACCACGTTCGCTCCCATCTCGGCAATGTCCGGCGTCTGTTCGGGGGAAGCGTCCTCGGTGTTGTAGATGCCCGTGAACCACTTCTTGAGTCGCTTCTGCGAGGGGACAATCAGACGCTTTCTCGCCATGGTGCCGTCGGCCACCTTTGAGTCTGCAAACATGACGAGGTCCTGCACCGCTTCGCCGAGGGCGAGCATGAGCTTCTCCATGTACAGCATCACATAAAGCTGCGTCTGGTCGCGCTCCCGCATCCTGGTCTCGAGCTTCCTCAGGTGAAGATCTTGGCGCTCCTGCTCCGTCGCGAGCTGCCTCTCCTTCAGCCAGTTCCTCAGCAGCTCGCCCTTCTTGTCGTTGAAGTCCTGCACCTTCTCGGCGAGGACTTCGGCGAACCCAGCTTCGCCCGGCTTCGAGTTCGGTTTGGCACCGGCCTCCCTCTCCACATCGGCACTCTTGGTCTTCTTCGGCTTCGGTGTCAGTTCGAGGACGATGCCTACGTGGTCGAGGCCTTGGTCCATCGCTTCCGTCAGAATTTCAAACGGCTCGACCAGTTGAAGCATGATGTCGTTCCAGACTCTCTTCTCCCTGTTCCTCTCCACGTCCGAGTCGCCGCCGCTGCCGTCTTGGACGCCCCATCCGTGCTTTTCGGATGCACGGCGAAAGATATCGACAATCGTGCTGATGCCGTTCAATGGAATCATGATGCTTCGCAGACGGTTGAAGATCTCGCCTAAATCCTTGGAGTCGAGCTTGCCGTAAGCAATATCCCTCTTGGCGAAGAGCATGTCGCCGTGCATCTTTCCAAACAGAGTTGAGATCGCCAGGGCCGTGGCCTTGAGCTCGCCTGCCGCCTTCGCCTCCTTTGTGAGCTCGGGTTTCTTTTGCTTCTTGTTCTTCTTGAACACGTTGCTGCTCTTTGTCTGGTGGCGCTCGAGCATGTCCGGGCTCGACAAAGTATGCAGATAGTTGAGCTGCAGCTTGATGGATTTGCGAACCAGTCCCATGGCACCCTTGAATTCGCCGCTTACAACCTTTCTGCTGGAGACGGGGAAGACGAAGAGCGAGACACCGGTCGCGATGCCCATGGCGGAAAGCATTGCCACGAGGAGCCGCTTCACAAGCGACTCGGCGGCTGCGGTAGTCACCATCAACGGGCCAAAGGTGCAAGCCACGTTCATGAAGATGGAGTAGATCATGACGGGCAGGTTCATCGCAGGGTACTTGGCTCTCAGGGTATTTGATATCCAGATGTTGAAGAACAGCCAGATTCCGCAGACGGCCGACTGGCTCGAGTTGTAGACGGGCAATCCGGAGGCCAGTTCTTGGGCGGAAGCGGTGTTCCTCCGCGCCTGGACACCGGACCACAGCGCCAGCATCGACAAGGCGCCGCCAAGGAGGATTCCGGTGACATTGAGGAAAAGATTCTGAAGATACTTGCCTCTCGGTAGAATGGCGAGCGCGAGAACTGAAATGATTGGCACGAGGTAGCCTATTGTTGTGAAGTACTGTGCCACAGGTGTGGATTGGTAGATGGCGATGCCGATGAGGGGGGGCAATGAGCCCTTGAACATCATGATGAGCGTGGGCGCGTCGAGGCCCAATCTGGTCGCGAGACTCGGCTTCGGCGCCGGTTGCTTCATCGCATTACTTGCAGTCGTTGCTGACCGTGCCGGGACGCCTTCCGGGTGATTCTCAGTCTCCGGGGACTGAGACTCGGTGTACCGGTCGGCGTCGGGCTTCTGTTCGTCGGACGCCATGGTTTCGTCAACGTTCTACGGATTCATCGGTCCCCCGAGCGAGCGAGCGAGTCGGGCAGCTGTGGTTATCCGATTATATCGTCGTGCCTGCAGATCGGTCGAACTTGACCGTCTCAGTCTTTGGGCGTTACAAAGTTTTGGACTGAGTTTCCCCGGGGTGGGCGATTTGTTTTGTCTCATTAGAGAATGATGTAATTGCGGAGTTCGCCGCGTCTTTCCCGAATCCCTGCTGTGTGCAGACCGACAGACTAACAACAGATGCTGGCAGAGTTTGCGCTAACGCCGTGTTTTGTGGACTCTGTGTTCGTTTTTGGTTAAGAGCGGGAGTAAAGATTACGGCGTACGCCAAGAAGGCCTAAAATATCAGCCGGTGGCCTCTCAGTCTCAGAGGGCTCTGCTCTGTATCCGTATTCCGCACTCAACGTGAGACGAGTCAAGATTCCTGCACGAGCACGGGCCTTCATCTCGGGGCTAAGCCGGGCTGAGTCTGTGAGTCTGAGCACACTGAGATGAGATTAGATGAGATGGGCAGACCATTCTCGATTTGTTGAAAAACAAAATCTAGAGTCTGAAGACAACCACTCGTTATTGAATCAACCTACGATCTTGTGGCCTATTTTGGATGAAGCATGCATATATAGTACTCACTGATGAGAGAGGGATGAGTGAGCTACTGAGACCCTTCACCCAGCGGCTCGAAGACGAAATGCTGTCCAACAACATCAAATTCCTCAACGATGATGCAAAGAAAGTTCAATTAGTCCTAACAGATGGGTTCAATGAGTTCGCGAGCTTGAAAAGAACCATGGATTCAGAAAAGTTATTCCGTATGCGTCACTTGGCACCTTGGCAGCCTCTACAGTCCCGCCGGAGCGGAGCAATCAAATGAAAAGAATCAACCGCATTATGCATGTATCATCCCTGCACCTCAGCCCTAACCGGCTTATTAACCCCGCCACGTCAACGTCTCAACCACAAACCGCTCGGCGTGTCCGGTCGATCTCGAGATTTCTCCCCGGAGAGTGACCGTCTAGCCGCTTCCTTAGTTCCGCCAACACAGGTAACACAACACTGGATGCTTGTCGTCTATCATGATTCTCATGCAAGAATGAAGCTTCGAACAGAGGGTCTTGTGTAATTATCAAGAGGCCGCGGCTCATAGCACCGGGGCCGTTGAGGCACCGAGTTACGAAGGCTCAGGAGTGGGGAAAGCGCTCTTCATTTTAGCGCACGTTGCAAGACGTTGCACTAGAATCCCCTCTCAATTTTGAAGCCAGTCTGTGTGCACATGGGCAATCTAATATCTTCTAGAAGTCTAACTTTGCAGTCTGCTGCGTTAAACTCAAGTCCTCAGACTCTCCCGGTGACCCGATCACATCGCTTATTGCTTCCCTTCTGTTCTCCCTCCGCAGCACTGCCGACACATGGACACCATGGATCTACAAATTCTTCTTCAACAAAGGAGATTCTACCGAGACGAGCTCTCAAGTCAAACTCATAGGGCAAATCTTTGCAAGCGCTGTACGCGTAATATTTGGCTGGTCCCACTGCTGAGTATGGAAGCAGTGATCGCGCAATCACGTTTCTCAAGTAAATAGCGATACAACGAAAGCACAATAAAGAGGACGAGTACCTCGGTGGTTGAAGTGTCGGTACCAACACCTGCTCCGAGTGTGGAGTAGGGAGACGGGCAGCAATGTCAGACTAGGAGAGGTAAGATGGCTACGATGATGATGAGAGCTATTGGGAGCGGCCAGGTCTCTGACGATGACCTCGAAGTCAATGAAAATGGAAGTTCTTTACAGTTTTATCCCACACCTGAGCCTATTATCCACATGGGAGAGAATAACATCCCAGAGCCGCTCACGTCCCCTTCCGAGGCCTTTTGGACAAAAGTACATCAGCTTTTCTCTGGTATCATGTGTTCTATCAGAAATAATTACCGGCAATATTTAATCTACGGTCACTGGAACCCATTCAGACAATAGAGGATGGTCAGAGCCTGGAAAAGAGCTGTGGCACCGTGGGAGCTCAATATGACGCGTGTTGGTCACTTGGAAGGCCCATCCTCTCAGGGAACCACATCGAAAATTCTTCCAAGAACGCTACCATGATGACTGGATCGCCTTTGACAGGCTCCTCACTCATTCTTTGTGGTCTGAGGCGACATGGGAAGGACGATGATTGAGACCGGAGACGGCCGAATCGGCGAGTGGTGGCAGCTGGGAGGACAAATCAATAGGGCTTTACACCTCTTGAAGATGCGCCTCATTAACAGAAAGCTATCAGATAGATATAATATGGAACGCCTGGTACAACGATGCGACTGACCCTCGAGACAAGATCTTTGCGATGCTGGGTCTCGTCGGTGGCCCCCATGGCATTTTGTAACCAGACTATAACAGGTCCATCAAACAAGTGTTTTGCGGAGCAGCAAGAGACATAATCCGTGACAATGACAGCCTCGGAATCCTTTTGGCTGGCGGAAAGATGAAGAGTGAAAACGAGGCAATCCCATTACCGAACTGGGTACTCAATTGGCGGAGGGAGCACAGCCCATCCAACGCGCCGCCCAGATCTCTGGTGGGCCGGTCTCATATATCTTCTTTCTATTTCACCGGATCCATCGAACCTGTCCTTTATCAACGGGCATATAGTTCAAGCGTGTGCGAATGAAAAGGAAATTGCTTGGCTCAGTAATGATCTTAATAGGCAACACGTTCGTGCCGTATTCATGGACTGGATGGAGTCAGGTGGTCTTCCACACGAGCCGAGACCAGATATTGGCATAAAGTATACAGTCAATGAAGCGTGCCTCGTAGCGCGTGCCGCATTCTTTCTTCGAAGGGGCGCCTCGTTGGTGGAACAAAAGGGAAAAAGACGGATTGCCGGGCTTGGGCAAGGGAGTTCTGATCGCAGGTCCCCGTTGGATGAAGAAGAGGCTATAGGAGATATCGTGGTGTCCTGACGCTTCATTCCCACAAAGAATGAGCGTTAACTCTGAATTAATCTCGATAGAATACGGCCAGGAGACAAGATCTTTTTCACTACTGAATATCATCTGCCACTGGTTCTAAGAGAGCACAGGCAATGCAGTGGTTTACCAGAGGTTGCTCGATTGACTGGCCGGAATCAAGGAGGGGGCCATATGCCCTTATGAGAGGTCCGGGGAGACACGTAGCGCTTGGAGTCGTGCCTTCTCTCTTCTAAAAGCGATAGCGCATATTTTGGAGGAACTCGTCCAAGGCGTGGCAAGAGCCGGCCATCCCATTCAAGGCTTTGGAGGAAGCTGGGGTCTCTCCACGTTGAGTGAGCGGACCTGTTCTTTTAGCTTTCCTGGCCTACTTTTTTTGTTCACATCTTCTGGAACGAACATACGAATCAGGGATATCACATAGTAGTAGAGGCAAGAAAAATGCAAAGCAGTTTAAATGACATGCTTAGTGCAGTGCACAAATTGAACCAGCCCAAAATCACAAGATAGGGTGTTTGAGACGCGGGGACAATGCAAACTGCTCAGTATTGGAAGAAAGTTGTATGTCTCCACGATATATTTGTAGAAGAATAATACCTCATCGGGCTCTACACCTACTTATGATCCAACATCCTCTCGGTACCAATGCTACGACGTAACACACGCCGTCCGCCCGGCGTGTTGCATGCGACTCGCCACTGTGTCGTTGGACCACGACCAGCTAGCGACGGCATGTGGTCCTCCACCACACGAAACCAGATCAAGAACGTCACCCTCTCCCAGCCGTGATGCTAGTCAAGCTTTTGAATCATTTGGATTCGTAGCCGACATGCTTGGGGGTAGATCCGAAGTCATCTACCGTTCGCCAATGATATCGAAGCGACTTCACCGTACTTCCCCAAGCATGTGGCGATGAAAGGGTGAACTTTTGGCATGTGTCACTCAGACGCCGGGAATCATTTCGTGAGTGAGGGCTTCAGATAGGCCTGGTACTGACCGATGAAGTAGCTTTATCTCATCTTCGATTTACTGACAAAGGTGTTGTGCAAAGACTCAACCGTGGCTTTCCGTGGACCAGAAGTTGTTGGGTACCTAGGAAGAGCACAAACACGTCTGTACATGGACCGCGGAGAACTAGACAAATCAAGTCTAGAAGCAAAGATGTGGAGAGGTCTCCAGGCGTGAGTACCTTTGATAAGCGGTATCATGCAGAGCCCCGACCACGATGTTATAGCGGCAGACCCACGGCTTCTGCATCCATTCTTTACGGAACGAGCGCGGCCCCAATGTCTTGCAACAGCCATCATGAGTACCTTGCTTTCATGGCATATTTGAGTCTTGTGATATTTGAAGAGACAGAAAAGAAAGCAGCGCGAGATATCCAAGGCAACAGTCGACCTAGACTTTGATCAAGATCGTCGCCACGCTGAAGACTAAAGCTCGTGCAATCTGGCATCTCTTTCATGGGACATTGATCAGTTATCCAATTGCTGCCGCCAGAGCTGATCTTTTGAGTCTTCCTAGACGCCGGCTGCGGCCTGTTCCACATTCTCGACGTCAACAGTCGCAGGGGAAACGGCAGTGACCAAGTCAATCTAAAATGGGGGATAGCAAGAGCCGGAGCGAAAAGAAGACGCAGCAAAGCAGGAAGACAATGATGATCAAATTGCATGGTTGATTAACGGCCAGGTTCAACCTTTTGAACGACTAGTTTCTGTTCAAAATGAGGTTGGGTTCAGCGTTTACAGTCTTGTAAACATCTTTGCGACTCATGGTTGAAGATATTGAGCCAACCGAGGTAAACCTCCCCTCACGGTCTTCACTTGGAGACCACGAGGCTCGTCGTGTTCAGAACCAGCCGCCATGTCCGCCGAGACAAAGCTCGAGCATTCTTCGATTGTACTTGTCATATTTGACACTAGTGTAGATGTGTCAGGGCAGCTTCACCCAAGGTGTAGACTCGGGACAGCGGCAAACAGCCGTCATCAAAACACTTGATATAAGACGACCGAACTCTGCGAGTACT